CACATATCTTTAACATACATATAGCACAAATAAATAAAATGAAAAGAATATGGTGCTATATTCCTGGCAAAATGACGACATGCGCAATTAATGCGTGATTGTAATCCTGCTCCTATAGACGAAATGGTGCCTTTACACATCGAGCAGGATTCAAATCAGATATATTATTAATAACAGGATTCCAGGCAACGAAACAACCCATGAGCATTTGTTTGATTTCAAGTTTTTTTGGATGCTAACATGTATTATACATACCAGTTAATATCAGATTATCAGAAAACTTTGAATACCAGACGGCTTCTTCTTCTCATCACCCGAAGCACTGTATGAAATCGAACGATAACTTTGGTCTCTATTAAAGTGTCCAGAAGATTCTTCGACGTTAAACACTGCGTTAAAAGTCAACTGGTGGTACTCTCCGAAACCACTGACCAGAAGTGGCCCAAAATTTGACAACATTGAGATATTATTGTTATCATTAGCTCTAATCCTAACCCGTGCCCTAACCTTATTTACATCGAGTGACCTATGACGAAATCTGCAATAGCTTTTAGCCCCAACCATCATATTATGTAAGTTTCATATACATCGGTTGATAATTGCAGTCTGCAGTCGTGCCACATTTTTTAAAAGCGCTGACCGGAAGCGACCTAAATGTTGCCTACTCGCATGAGATATCGTCGTCATCTTCTGTAAGTTTCATTTGCAATCGCAAATAAGGGGTAGAGGTGATGACTTTATTATAATCTATGCATGTAAAACTATAATAAAGAAACGTTTGTATTTGTTGTTCCTGTTAATCATACTATTAAAGATGCAGTATATTCAATCACCACGTGAAGCCGTCATTAATGTGGCATATCAGAGTGGCATTTAAATAAAATAAAACCAAGTACGAACAATCCAAACCATAAGACAGAATTCGAAGTCCTAAAAAACGTTATAGGCAAAATAGTGTATTAAAGCAAAATAGTGTAATCAGCAAATGGACTGCTCCCCGTGTACAAAATACACGACAAACAGTGGTAACAGGTGTCCGGAAGAGTAAGCTTACCCTGCCTGGCGCCACACCCGCCATAGCTGCATCCAAACTATTAGGCGAAATGTCGTTAAAATAGCGTGATTGGCCAATGAACTATCGGTATGCAAAATGCACGCGATGAACTAACCAGTTAAGGAATTACAAATACAACCAGAGACAATACTAGACGATTAAGGGCTGTTCCAAATATGTAGTAAGAAACGATGCTTGGGTAAGACGCTGGCTCGCTAGCCTGGAGGTCGGGTGTTCGATCCCTGCATTGGCCGAGAAAGTTCACACAGATTTTCCGGCGTGGTTCCTCCTTGTCAGTGATGCAGGATGGAGGGCCTGACAAGGACAGCTGTCTAGTCATTTGGATGAGACGAAAAACCGAGGTCCTGTGTACACATTGGCGTGCACGTAAAAGATCCCTTGACAGTTGGAATTCGAAATAAGAGTAGGCCGTAGTGCCACTGTCCGGGCAAAATTTCCCTCATAGCACACTGTATGGCGTATGCCCGTCTTCATTAGCCCAGTTCGGAGCAGAACAATAGGACGTTAAATCCCATTTCATTTCATTTCAGTTGTCCGCTCTCCACGTCTGACAGGTACTACAAAATTTAGCTAGCACATCATTATATTTTCCCCTGTCTTCCTTTACTTCGAATACAAAACTAAGGAAAATATTTCCAGCTTCGTTTTTCCTTGGCGTAAATCAAAAAACTAACCTGGACGTCGCCTTCTTCTCTGTAATTTTGTAGCTAATCTGAACCTTGAAAATCTTTGTTTCCACTCTGATCACTCATTAAGTTAGTCAAAATGAAAATTCTCTGGGGTTAAAACTTTTTCTATCTTCTGTGTTCTTTATGTCATGACTGTTGTGTCACAATTCACTGTCGCATCATCCCCGAGACCCTAACCAGCTTTACACTTAGGCCTATTACTATATAACTACAACTTCTCTGACACCATATCAGGTTCTAATCGACCACATTGACTTAACTATTTTATTCTCAAACATGCATCATGGACAACTTTATAGTTTACTTCTGTTATGTGTTCATACTTTACTTTCTCAACAGTCCATTGCCAGCGGATAAATTTATTTGAAAATAACCTACTCAAAATACAAAAGAAAATATTTACACGACGGACACGGTTATTAAATAACCAATGCAATGTTTATTAGAATAATGTCGATGTACGTCTTTCTATCAATCTGAAACGATTTTAGTATAATTAATCTCCCCTGCGAAATTATGTACACAATTATAAGTACATTGTTTAAAAGTAGAATTATATAAAGAGTCTGATAATTATTATATAAATTTTTATACGCCCACATTTTCATGTGGACGTATATTGTCGTCGCCCCTGTCCGTCCGGACGTCCGTATGTCTGGACGTCCGTCCGTTCGTCCGTCCACAATTGTTTGTGGACTCTCTACAGGTCACAATTCTTATCCGATTTTGACGATTATGGCCCCTGATTGTACGAAAAATCACGTTTTTAGCTTGTGGACCCTATAGAGGTCACAATTTTTATCCGATTTTGTTAAAAAATCGAAATGTAAGTTTATAACCCAAAGATCTCGGTTCCTTTCGATAGTCGCGCATATCGGACCGTAACTTCCTGAATTATGACCCCTGTTTGTACGAAAAATCGCGTTTTTAGCTTGTGGAACCTATAGAGGTCATAATTTTTATCAGATTTTAAAAACCGTATTATTATATCACCGTTACACTCTAAGGACGGCTGAGATCGAATTTCGTGAAAATTGGCCCAAAATTGACAGACAAAATGGCCGCCGTTCGTTCTCAAATAGCGTAAAAATATGGTATACCAAGGTTGTGGACCCTATAGAGGTCACAACTTTTATCCGATTTTGTTGAAACTTGAAATGTAAGTTCATAACCCAAAGATCTCGGATCCTTTCGATATTCGCGCATATCGGACCGTAACTTCCTGAATTATGGCCCCTGATTGTACGAAAAAATGGCGTTTTTAGCTTGTGGACCCTATAGAGGTCATAATTTTTATCCGATTTAAAAAACCGTATTATTATATTACCGTTATACCCTAAGGACGGCTGAGTTCAAATTTTGTGAAAATCGGCCCCAAAATTGACAGACAAAATGGCCGCCGTTCGTTCTCAAATAGTGTAAAAATATGGTATATCATTGTTCTGGACCCTACAGAGGTCACAATTTTTATCCAATTTTGTTGAAACTTGAAATGTAAGTTTATAACGCAAAGATCTCAGTCCCTTTCGATATTTGCGCATATCGGACCGTAACTTCCTGAATTATGGCCCCTGATTGTACGAAAAATCGCGTTTTTAGCTTGTCATAATTTTTATCCGATTTAAAAAAACGTATTATTATATCACTGTTACCCCCTACGGATGGCTGAGTTCGAATTTCGTGAAAATCGGCCCAAAATTGACACACAAAATGGCCGCCCTTCGTTCTCAAATAGCGTAAAAATATGGTATATCAAGGCTGTGGACCCTATAGAGGTCACAATTTTAATCCGATTTTGTTGAAACTTGAAATGTAAGTTTATAACACAAAGATCTCGGTTCCTTTCGATATTTGCGCATATCGAATTTAATTTCCTGAATTATTCCCCTTGATTGTAGGAAAAATCACTTTCTTTTTACTTTGTTCTCTATCCATCTCTCGAAAATGTGGGCGTATCCTGCCTGGCAGCCGCTGGTTACATTAGAAGGAATCGTATACTGCAGTTACTGTTTTATCGCTTTGTTTCGTTTCGTAGCCAGCCCACCACAATTTTTATCCGATTTAAAAAACTGTTTTTTTAGTATATCACCGTTACACTCTAATGATAGTTTAGTTCTAATTTTATGAAGATAGGACCAAAAAACTGCCGGACAAAGTGGCCGCCCATTGTACGCAAATAGTGTAAAATATGGTATATCAAGGTTGTGGACACTCTAGAGGTCACAATTTTCATCCGATTTTGATGAAACTTGGAATACATGTTTATATCACAAAGATCTTGGTTCCTTCCGATATTCGCGCATATCGGATCGTCACTTCCTGAACTATGGCCCCTGATTTTAAGAAATTTCGCGCTTTTAACTTGTGGTCCCTCTAGAGGTCACAATTTTTATCCAATTTCGAAAAACGTTTTAGTATATCATCGTCACACCCCAATGGTGGTGGAGTTCGAATTTTGTAAAAATCGGACCAAGACTGTCGGACAAAATGGCCGCCCCTTGTGTACGCAAATAGTGTAAACATCTTGTATATCAAGGTTGTGGACCTCCTAGAGGACACAATTTTGATCCGATTTTGATGAAACTTGAAATGCATGTTTATAACCCAAAGATTAGGTTTCTGTCGATATTCGCGCATATCGGATCCTAACTTCCTGAATTATGGCCCTTGATTGTACGAAAAATCGCATTTTGAACTTGTGGTACCTATAAATGTCACAATTGTTTTTATCCAATTTAAAAAAAAAACGTGTGAATATATCACAGTTATACACTTGTGATAGTTGAGTTCGAATTTCGTGAAAATCAGATAAAACCTGACGGACATAATGGCAAAGAGTGTAAAAATATGGTATATAAGGTTATGGACCCCTCTAGAGACCACAGTTTTTATCCGAATTGGATGAAACTTTAAATATATGTTTTTATCATGAAGATCTTGGTTCCTTTTGATAATCACACATATCCGAACGTAACTTCCTGGATTATCGCCCCTGATTGGTCGACAAATCGCAATTTTAGCTTATGGATTCTCTAGAGGTCACAATTTTTTTTCCGATTTTAAAAACCGTTAAGATATATCAATATTCCACCATAATGAAGGTTGAATTGGAATTTCGTGAAAATCGAAATGAAAGTCCCTGAAACGCAAATTTACGTCTAAGTATGTAACACAAAGGTTATGGGCCCTCTATACTAATTGTTTTTAAATTAATAAACTTTTTCTGTATCTTTTAGATGAAGCTGAAGCATGCTATTGTCATTATTCCCGTTTTGGTGATAATCATATTTATTTCTGCCTTAACCAATCAGTTAAGAAGCAACAGGGTCGTACGAAGGATGATGAAGACTGTCGGACTTATCCAAACATTGCCAGAAAACAACAAATCGTGTGAACAGATACATGTGATATGCACCATGCCTCTACTTACCAGTAACGACATCAAAACGACAAGCTATTCCAGGTACAAACCAGAAAATATACAAGCAAGAATGTCAGAATTTATGACAGGGTTACAGAGGACTCTCGACCACCAATGTGTCTATCGTGTTCATTTTCTATACAATCAGTCTGCAGTAGTAGAGTATGTTAAACTCAACCTCGAAAGTAATCTGCACAAACTAGTGTTTCATCTCGTTCCCAATCCACAAACACAAACCGCATATTTTGATTTTGCTTATGATAATCTGCAAGGTGAAATAGCAATGTACACACCTTCTGATGTCTATCCAGGAGAAGGGTTTGAATTAATAAAAAAAGATGTTATGGTGAAAAATAAGTTAATGTATATTTTAACCAGACATGGCAAAAAAGAGAAATATTGTGACATGCGTAAAGAATTATCGTCTAACAGCTGTGATGAGAAGCGTTATATGGGCTCCCATGATACCTATATTTTCGTGCCGATTGGAAAATTTCCAGCAGAAGTTAAAAAAGAGTTATCAGTATTTGCCATTCATTATGGAGTTGAAAATATGTCGATCTGGGCCTTCAGAACTTTAGGACATTATAAAGTGACTAACCCTTGCAAAGTTCTTAAAGTGTATCATTTACATTGTACGGGACTACGTGATGCTAGACGAAAGCGTCTTAATACTAGTAAAAATACGGGCATGGCTATTCCTACAGATCACTTAGATTAAACTGGCCTGAAGATTGCTTTTGTGTTTAGCCAAGTCTGAACAGAACGGGCTGGACGATTTACTCAATACTAACTAAATACTACCAAATACCACCACATACTAACACAATATTGTGAAAAACTAACAGAATGCTTCAATTATTTATTTAAAAAAAGAATTGAGTTAAGTCCTGGAAAACTTGCTAAAATGAACTACAGTGTCTCGTAAATTCGAAAAGTTTGTATTCCTATTTAAAAAAAACCGGTTTATACCCTCAAAGAAGAAGGGTCGCGCTTAAAGTAGCTAAGTCCGTAACTCAATATCATCCAAAATCTTCGACATTGAAAACACGATTTGTTTTTGCAATTTAAATCAGCATTAGTGTTGTGATCTTACCTGGAAAAGATGGGCTTCTGATATCCAATATTTAAGACAAAATAAACATTTTACCATTTGGTACACGAATCGTGTACCATCGTGTACCATAATGCGTTTCAGCGCCATTTGTAACAAGGTGCTCAAAGAATGAGGCTAGGCATATTCCACAAGTCATGTCAAACGGTGATATCATATTCTTATTTGGAAAGCATGCGCAATAAATAATATCGGTGTTGACTGGAATAACCAGACGCTAGAAACTGACTTGCGGTTGAGACTTCTGGCGTATATCGCCGAACATAACTGATGACAATTCACAGTAAAACGGACACGATTGAATGTAAAACAGTTTATATAAATTCATATTACATTATTATATGTGTTGAGACTCATTTTTGCGAATTTCTAGGTCCAAAATATTAGCGATTTAGCTCCTTTAAGAAGCGAATGTTATTTTTTGTTTTATGTCTTATTCCAAATGACGTTTATATCGTGTGTGCTGTTATTTTATTGTGTGTGCCATCATTTAATCTATGTGAAGCCAGTGCACCACCTGTGAGCAGGGCCGTATTTAGGATTTTAAAAGTGGGGGTGCAGCAGAGTAGTGGGGCGCCATAGCCTCCACGTATGTGATATAAGATAGTTTCGATCAGGGCAAACGAACCCATTGGCGTGTGGGCGCCCTTAAAACCGACCGACTGATCATTGCCTTAAGAGCATCACTGTTTGATCATAATAAAGTGTATTATTTTATAATTGAAAGATTGTCAAATATCTTTTTTGGGGAGGGGAGGGGGATGGGTCAATTTCTCGGGGCGCCTTATTTTTTTGGGGGTGCAATGTATCCCCTGCACCCCCGCTAAATACGGCCCTGCCTGTGAGGATTGTGTTAGTAAGTTATTTACTTTGGTAAATATCTCGTGGGTAGTATAGGAATGTGACAAAGTTCTCTATAACTTTCATCAAATTGAACGATCAATTGGGTACATAGAACTTATTAACCCCAGCTGATTTGTGATAATATACTATTCAAAAAAAGTAGGGGATATTTGATTTTTAAGTGTTATTAAAGTCACCTAATGAAACTGACGAAGAAACAAATGACAAAATGAAATGAAGTTCACATTCATCGATTTATTCCAAATGATCGTTAGACTAAGTAAGGCACAGACTGACCATTATAAGGGTAAAATGATACCCGGGGTCAAACAGCAAAGTTACCACAGCATCACAACCAAGTCAGTAACGGGTAAATCCTCCTCTGTTTGCCAAACAAGCATTGATCCGACGTGGCATACTCCTAATGAGACGTCTAAGGTCATTTTGGTCCAGATTGTCCCATTCCTGTTGCAACGCAGAAGCAAGTTCTTGGACATTGGCAGGACGTTGTTGACGTTGACGTAACCTCTGTCCAAGCATGTCCCAGACATGCTCGATGGGGGAGAGGTCGGGACTCAGTGCTGGCCAAGGTAATGTGGTGATGTTCTGTTGTTGGAGGTAACCTGTAACGATCCTGGCCCTGTGACATCTTGTGTTGTCATCCTGGAAGATGAAACGGCGGCCATGACGTCGTGCGAACGGCACAACATGGACTGCCAAGATGTTGTCCCGGTAGTACTGGCCTGTAACACGCCCTGCAACAACATGTAAAGCCGTTCTTCCAGCAACAGTAATGCCTCCCCACACCATAACAGAACCACCCCCAAATCGATCATGTTTGATGACGTTAACGTCTTGGAAGCCCTCGTTTCGACGACGCCACACCCTCCTACGTCTGTCCAAAAAATCAACAGTGAACCTTGACTCATCTGAAAACATCACATTGCTCCAGCGTCGATTATCCCAGTGTTGACGATCCCTACACCAACGACGTCTTGCCTGAATGTGATGATCTCTCAAACAAGGGATCACGCGAGGACGTCGGGCGCGAAGGTGACCCCTATGCAGTCGATTCCGAATCGTCTGGCCACTCACTCTCACACCAGTGTCTGTTTGAAGACGAGCGCTGATCTGATTTGCTGTGATGACACGATTTCTCAAGGCCAAGGTACGGATAAATCGATCCTGGGCTTGAGTTGTCGCCCTTGGTCGACCTGAGCGTGGTCTGTCCTGTACAGATTGTGTATCACGGTATCTGGACCATAGCCTGCTTATGACAGACTGAGAAACATTCATCGTCCGCGCCACAACCGCCTGTGTTGTGCCGATCTGTAGCATGCCAAGGGCACGTAACCTTTCATTTTGGGTAAGCCGACGCATATCAAAATTTGTTTTCTGGTCACTAAAACAATTAAACTGATGTTTCCACCCTGGAATTCAATGCCACAATGACTGTAACATTCAAAGTCAGAGTCGTGCAAATCTTGGGTTGGACCCCCATGATGATCCCAAGCATCACCTGCATTCCATGCGGTAGCTATTGGTGCGTTTGGGCGTCACATGTAACTGGAAATGTTTCTTCTGTTAGGTTCTATAGTGACTTTTTTCGTAGTCATTTGCATATTTTAGTATTATGCCCCCAAAATCAAATATCCCCTACTTTTTTTGAATAGTATATATGATATTGACTTTTCAACTCTGTACTTACTTCTGTGAGGCACGAAATGGCTATGGTATAATTAAACATGTAATTAATCACTTATGTTATTTACAAGCTACATATGATCTAACAACACAGTTTATATGGAAATATAATCACTGGTTGATAAGTATAGCACGACGTTTCGACAAGTATTCTCTTATCGTTATCAAGCACATTTGTGTGTGCTTGATAACGATAAGAGAATAATTGTCGAAACGTCGTGCTATACTTATAAACCAGTGATTATATTTCCATATAAACTGTGTTGTGTTTTTTAATGCGTTCAATCGCTAAATGCCACTCAAGGATTATACATATGATCTGTGTACAAGCTCCGCATGACTTCAAAGGAAATACTCATCGGTCAGTTAATCATACCATGACGTGATATATAGACAAGGGAGGAGAAGAGAGGAAAAGAGACCGGCGAATCGGCTCATCTAAGTTCAGTCGCTGTCGAGGCAGGGGTCGGAATGGTTGAAATATAGTCATATACTATATTAATGTACCTTGTTGATGTTGAATTTATGTTTCTATTGTAGTTTAGTTCCTGTTATATTTATGTAGCTTGTGTATATTTTGTTCCTGATGTAGATAAATGATATTTTTACTAAACATATATCTGTTATTACTAAAACAGTGTTACACATTTTGCTAGACATTTAGACGCCGCCTGGGCTACCGGCTACTGATAGTGTAAATAGACTTTTCCGAGATGGCCGCCAAGAATCCATAATGGTTACCAGAATAGCTAAAATGGACTCAGACTAGTAATTATTTGCCCATTGACTTCAATGTTAAATGGCTGTAACATCACAGGCTGTAGCTTTTTGCTCAACATTCCGTTGGTTCCAATCTTTATAGGCACAATGGGGACCACATTTGGCAATCTCCTCATCATAAACTTGTAGGGGGTTGACCGTTTAGATTTTTTGCTACGGGGATTTGAAGTTGACTGGGGTGAAAATCTCACTTCCGATACAATGATTGCTCGGCAGAAAGACATTTTAGACCCCCTATCCCTCCGCTGTAATATCATCAGTATTACCGAAAACTGCTATAAAATTACAAATTTGATCCCCTTTCTCCTATTCTAGACCAAAAAGTCACCCCAAAAATGCAGGAAGAGGGGAGAAAAAAATTAAGGGAAAAATTGTCTATTTATAACTCGCACTACATTCGTCCATCATGAAATAAGGGGAAATAATTACTAGTCTTAGTCCTATATACCTCACATATTCTTGCTGTTTGAACAAAATCGGTTGTTATCTAATAAAAAAACATATATGCAATGCCCTGGCCAAAGAGTATGAAAATCCATGCATTTTCAGATGAGCAGTGCAGCATTCTGCAAACACTATAATACATCAGAAAACTGGAATTTCAGACAGAAATTTAAAAGCATATGAATTTTGAATTCCACAGAACATTTTTATTTTTGAACATAAATGCATTCTGTAAAAAGATGAGATAAATTCAATATAAATCAAACACGAAAATACTTTAAAACAGTAATCATGATGCAATATTAGACTTTTTAACACTTTCATCGAAAACCACACAGTTTTTCTCTGTTAACGTAGTTTCAAGTGCCAAATTGTGGTCAAATCTAAAATGTTGAAACATGCAGTGTCTATGAATTTCAAAATATCTCCTATATAGCTACATTTCCACAGGATAAGTAAGTTGAAATAATCTGATTAGGTAACACTACAACAGTTTTTTCATCCCCAGCCCCCAGTATGGAATCTGATACAATGCTGACCAATCACAGGTCTTCCTGTTCACTCTGGCCTGTCAAATGATTTACAATGGCAATGGTGCCTACAACTTTCCTGACCAAGAGATATGCAACACATAAGCCATTTCTGTTATCTTCCAATATGAGAGGCGTTGATAAACACAAGGGTGTCCTTTCCAAGCTCGGAAATGAAGTCATCACCAGAAAGCAAAGTTTACAGAGGTCCTCGACTGGAACCCAAACTGATTACGATTTGCCTTGCACTTCCACCATAGGTGTGTCCTAGAGATCTGGGATGAAATTGATATGCATCATCGTTCTACTAAAGCCAGTCCAGGACGTCATCCGGTTTTGAGATGTAGACCTGAAATGTTAAATTTGGATGAGAATGAGAATTCTGGGGCGAATACTATCCAGGGAAACTGATCATTGACATCCAGAAAATGGTCAAAATGTGGAATTCTCTCATTCAGTTACATGCCAAGGTGAGAGGAAAGGCCTGTGCAGTACCAAATTTGCAGCCCGTTAGTGAGCAGAAGTGGGGATCAGGTTGAATGTACTTGGTAAAGTGTATGAAATGCACATTTATCTCACCTGTTTTGCTTCTTTTTTTCTAATACTTGTGTTCAGCTTTCTATCATTTCACTGTATATGAAACATTTCCCTGGCACCTGAAATGATAGAAAAGCAGGGGATAAATATGCAATAAAAAACAGTGAGAAAATAAGAATGAAAAAAAAAATGGTTTCAACTGGAAATAGAATTAAACCTCTTTATTTCTAGCGAACACCTAGTCACTGGCCCTCCGACAAGAAACCAGTTAACAGTCAGTTAAAAAAAAGTAAACCTTGAGTGTCACATAAGTCTAAGCCAATCTCAATGGCAGACACCATGTTTTGAGGTTTGGTCTAAATATTAAGGCCAACTGCAGGTTTGGTCAAAAGTCACACAGATGTGAATTTTGGAGTGTACACATTAACATTTCATTGTATGATGTCAAAACATGTTAGGTCTAAATATTAAGGCCAACTGCAGGCTTGGTTCAAGGTCACAACATGTAACTAGAGTTGTGGGCACACGATTTTTTGACAAGATTGTGGGTTAGGGTTAGGGCCAGACTACGTCTTGCCTTAGGCCCGCGGCACAAGCTTGTTGACGAGGTCGTGGGTTAGGGTTAGGGTAAGGCCTCGGTCTTGGGTTAGGGTTAGGGTTAGCCCTGTTTACATCTCGGGACCTTAGACCAAATCTGCAGTTGAGTTGGCCTTAATATTTAGACCTAACCATGTTTTGACATCATAGTGAACGAAATGTTAACATTTACACACCAAATTCACACTCAGCCAACGGACCCCCAATAATGGCTATTTTGATCTCAAATAGTCAAAAAACCTATTGTTGGGCAATAAAAAAGCAGTTTTCTTTTCTGACACTTCTTATTGAAAAATTCAGGAAATAAGTGGCTGAGAATAAATCTATGTTTCGACCATCGTATCATATACAGGACTCAGACTAGTAATTATTTGCCCATTGACTTCAATGTTAAATGGCTGTAACATCACAGGCTGTAGCTTTTTGCTCAACATTCCGTTGGTTCCAATCTTTATAGGCACAATGGGGACCACATTTGGCAATCTCCTCATCATAAACTTGTAGGGGGTTGACTGTTTAGATTTTTTGCTACGGGGATTTGAAGTTGACTGGGGTGAAAATCTCACTTCCGATACAATGATTGCTCGGCAGAAAGACATTTTACACCCCCTATCCCAATCTGTTTCACAGAGAATTACGAGTCTCGTATAATATCTTTGTCATAGATGACTGCCTTAACACGTGCTGTCACAGCACGCGGTGTGAATCATTGGCTGAATGGCGCGTGCATTGTTTACATAAGACATAACTGCTTCGGAGAGAATGCTGCATTTTAGTCATTTTAATACCCATTTACACTAAATCGGAAATAATTTTTAACTACAAATACGTCAAACGCCTTTATTTATTTTTCCAATATATACAAAAAATGTTTTAGAATTTAATTTGTCGCAGGAAAAAAGTTAATATTTCTAGCTCATTAAGCCGCATCAATGTCATCCTTATCAGTGATTGTCGCGGCCAAGCAAATATTCACTGCGGATCAGTGTGCCCCTATCCCTCCGCTGTAATATCATCAGTATTACCGAAAACTGCTATAAAATTACAAATTTGATCCCTTTTCTCCTATTCTAGACCAAAAAGTCAACCCAAAAATGCAGGAAGAGGGGAGAAAAAAATTAAGGGAAAAATTGTCTATTTATAACTCGCACTACATTCGTCCATCATGAAATAAGGGGAAATAATTACTAGTCTTAGTCCAAATGCTACTTCTCAGAGTTACTTTTATCCATTGATGATCTTTTTTCAACTGATTACGACACATTTTGATAAAGAAAGATAACCCAGTCCATGAAGCTTTAATCAAAGTCCTGTATAGGGAAAGTTACGACAACTCATTTACAGGCGCCATTCCTTCGCAATTACAATGTTTGAGAAGGATTTGAAGTATAATTATGAAAAATTAATTAGTTTGAATATGTTTTTGGTCCATATATACCATTAAATCACCCAGTTTGTACGCGGGAACCCATCTTTAAATGAATAAACCGAAACAACTGCACAATGCAGAATTTCTTCAGACCAAAATGTCATGTGATTTCGGACCTTTCATTTTGTTGACTAGCAGGCAAAAGAATTTTTCCCCAAAAAATATTATATTTCTTCTTTTTTCACATCAGGCGTACACCTGGAGCAGCCCGGCATATCGTTGTTTTTGGGTTTAAAAGCAAGATGGCGTCGATGGCATATGGCGACGTAACATTCAACGTTTGCAACATTGGAGATGTAAAATCACTAACAACATAGCACTGACTTTTTACCCAAATCCCCCCGTCATAGTAAGAAGCAGCCATATAAACGCTGTAGCTATCGTAGTTCGTGCTATGTGACACGATCATAGCGCAAAATAAACAGTAGATCTTGTCATAAGCTTATATACAAATCAATAACGTGAAACTAACCTGGTCACCAGCTTACAAATCCATAATGTGACCCTCTACTGGTCAACAGGTTACAGATCCATAATGTGATACTACCCTGGGCCCGGTTCCTAGGAAATTCTTAAAGTAAGCACAAAGTCATGCTTCACTTTTTCTTACGTAAGAATCTTATAAAAATACCGTCCCTAGAAAATTCTCAAGACCATTCTTATGTAAGCACAAGTCAAGTATAAGTCTAAGCACATTGTGACTGGTAAAGTTTACCATAAACTGAGACTATGATGCTCTTTAACGTCATAAAAACAACTTTGGTATGCGAAACGTCATAAATTTGTCGCCTGCTTCATTGACGTTATATATATATATGGTTGATTTAGATGCATTTGCCATGTCCCCTAGGCTATACACATATAAAATGTGAGACAAGATAAAAAAAACGCAGACACATACAAACTAACTGATTAATTGTGAGAGTGCCTGATCTTAAAGTAGCCTGTGTATTTGCAGCCTATTGTTTACTAATTGGCAAATAAATAAAATGGTTTCAGGGTAGGCCTAGAAGCGAAATTTTCTATAGTATTCTTAATTTGAAATTTCTTCTGGAGAAGGATTTTCTCTGTCTTGTAATTGTCTCTTTGGTATCAAAAGGTGTCGGAAATGCCGTCGAATAACTCTACGGTCAGCCATCTGTTTGAAGCAGAAACAGACTTAAGGTTGGTAAGCAAGCCGTATACCTTGCTTGGGACTTGTGCTTAGATTGACTATGTTTAAGAACGAAGTTTTTTCTTGGAACGCATAATAACGTTCTTGTGCTTACAATGAAGTCTACTTAAAATCTAAGCACATGAACATTGTTAAGAATTTTCTGGGAACACAAAATAAAGGTAAGTTTACTTAAATGCAAAGTCTACTTAAATCTAAGCACAAGAACGTGCTTAAGAATTTTCTAGGAATCGGGCCCTGGTCATCAGCTGTACATTAAAGCACATGTGACAGTTCAAAGAAGGGTAGGTTGAAACACTGTTTTCAGGCAAAATGTCCCTCCTATGACATATGATCGTCTTCATTTCATTTCCTAACCATTATTAGGTGAGTTAAATTAATAGCAGGTCGGTCTGACAAGCAAGGGAAGTAACTCATTTGTAATTTATTCAAATATATACACATTATTTTATTTAAGTATTATATCGTGTACAACAAACAATAAAAATCGTGAAATGGTGAAATCTATTTTATTGCATCAATATATTTGATCTCAGAAATCGTTAAAGGGATATTCCGGATGATTGGCAGCTCTGAAATAAACAACAAGACAACATTCAGTGATAAGTTCCATTAGTATCTTTAAATACATCGAGTAGAATGATTACCAGTGACAGATCAATTCATCAAAAGGAAAGGATGGAACAGATTTTTGACATGTAAAATGCTCATCTAGGCCCTTCTGGCGGGTGTGGGTTGGTGGGGAGTAGGGCTATTTACGAAACGTCAAAGGTCCAACATAATTCCATCACAAGCATCAATCATGTCTTTGGATGTGCCAATGGAACCTTGTCTAGCACACGAGGATCCCGTTGAATCTCGGGGCCACGGTGGTTTAGTGGGTAAGACGCTGGCTCGCTAGCCTGGAGGTCGGGTGTTCAATCCCTGAATTGGCAGAGAAAGTTCATTCAGATTTTCCGGCGTGGTTTCCCCTTGTCAGTGATGCAGGTCGGAGGGCCTGAAAAAGGACAGCTGTCTAGTCGTTCGAATGGGACGAAAAACCGAGGTCCCGTGTACACATTGGCGTGCACGTAAACGAGCTCTTGACAGTTGGAATTCGATATAAGAGTTGGCCGTAGTTTCGCCGTCCGGGCAAAATTTCCCTCATAGCACACTGTATGGCGTATGCCCGTCTTCATTTGCCCAGTTCGGAGTAGAACAGTAGGACGTTAAACCCCATTTCATTTCCGTTGAATCTCAAATAGTAAGCATCCAAACGAAACGTGGAGGTTGAATTTTGTTGAATCATCGAATTTCAGGATCATAAACATGAATTGTGTTGAATACTCGTATAAAGAATATATTAGTTGGTTTTAAAGACAAAAAGAAAAGATAGTAAGAAAAGTTTACTCTTACATCGGCTCTATATAAACTCTTAAATTTCGGTCTAATGCCGCCATTTGCTTCATCTCATCGTCATTTAATTCAGTGTCAAATAACTAAAATAATAATAAAATAATAATAAATCTGTCTTTTATATAAAATACAACAATTAAAATAATAAAAGCGTTAACCCCATAACTAAAATAACAAAATGATTAACACCATCACTAAAATAATAAAAGATTTAACCCCATAACTACAATAATAAAATGATTAACCCCATAACTAAAATAATAAAAGATTTAACCCCATAACTACAATAACAAAATGATTAACCCCATGACTAAAATAATAAAATATGTAACCCCATAACTACAATAACAAAATGTTTAACCCCATCACTAAAATAATAAAAGATTTAACCCTATAACTACAATAATAAAATGATTAACCCCATAACTACAATAATAAAAGATTTAACCCCATAACAACAATAATAAAATGATTAACCCCATAACTAAAATAATAAAAGGATTAAACCGCAACTAAAATAATAATAGGAACTTTTACGTGCACTACCAATTAAAACTTGCCTCGAAATTTTCTTTAATTCGAGCGGGCGTCGAGCTTTTGGGAATGATAATAATGCCCCGTTGCAGTAGACATCTTAAAACAATCTGTAAAAGAAATATCAATAAGCCTGTTATATTTTTAATTCTATAACATAAAATAGTTTTATATCGCGTATTTAAAAAAAATACCTTTCTTCTCTTTCCATACTTCTTCTGGATTTAAAAATAAACGAGGGGCTTGTCAGGCCCCATAATACGCGCTAGCTCTAAATATCAATATCATCTCATAAGAGACAGACAATTCGTACAATAAAGATATATACTTTTAAAAAAAGTAGGGGATATTCAGAAACAATACAAAACGGCTGTTTTTATTAGAGGTAACCAGTGTATGTTAATAACAGACCAATTGCCTATACACATGAACATAAACAGTTCATATCGGCGGCTTATCTGACGACCCCATTTCACTCGCAAATAGATACACTGTCAAAAATGAAAATGGACGTTATTTGTTTTTGTCTTAATAATGAGTAATTGCCCCACCAATCCTCAGACATTCAGCAATTCGTCGTGGCATGCTCCTAATCAACCGTCCAATCACGATTTGGGGCAATCTGGCCCACTCCTCTTGCAGTGCCATGGTCAATTCTTGCAGCGTTGTCGGTTGACGTTGACGTCGACGAACACGTCTCCCGATCAAATCAAATTAAACGTAACACACAAAAGCAAAGATACACTAAACAGTAAATCTTATGCTAGAACCGATAGGAAAGCAAACATGGATAGGATAAACCAGCACGCGGCAGTTTTCATCAACCCTTCCTTGAAGTGTAAAATTTGAAAATGAACCCCTCCCAAGTGTATGGCGTTATTGCGTGTCGCACATGCAGCCCAGTGGTTCTGTTGGGGCGATAAGTTCTTCATCTGTGAACATACTCTCAAAGCATGTCAAGTGTCCATGACCGTTTATCATATCACAACCTGCATATGTATTTGCATTTCAATATCCCCTAGGTTTTTGAAGAGTATAAATCGAATTAAATTTGAATAAGACTCAAAGCAACACTTGTCTCGTCTGACCTACGTTTGTTCAAGCCAGGGGTTGGGTGACCGAATGGTTAGCGCGAACGCGTTGTATCATAAGGTCTGTCATTGAGTCAACTGGCGTGGTTTCGATTCCCCGGTTGTACGTGACTAAGAGTAGGGCCGCCTGTCCAACCTCGTAGGTTTTCTCCGGGTCTTCCGTTTCCTTCCACTGCTAAAGACCGCTACGCGCAAGCGAATAATGGAAATAAATTTGAACCATATGTTAGTCCCAAAATGACCTGGTTTGTGCCGAGTGGACGTTTTTGTTCAAGCCCGTGTGCAACCCATACAATAATACTTAAAACATGTGTATTCCCAATTTTTCATGTCAAAAGGACTGGGCGTCGTAGACGGGACTAGTGTGGTATATTTTGATTAAAGTTATATCCTATACCTGAGCAGGTGTTTTTCCTTTCGCCGAGGCTAACTGCTTAACGACTGGTTCTTCTAACAAATCAGGTTCATCTTTAGTCTTCCTAAAATATTAAATAAAATAAAAGCCACTGACTACCTAATCACTGTCAAGTGCGGAAGTAGGATAATTAATGTGTTTTTTTTCAATAATCCGTTAAATCCCATTTCATTTCATTTTTTCAATTATCTATTAATACATAGTCTATTAGGAACACCAAGACAAGGTGTAACTATTATATCACCAGTGTGTATTAGTATTATATCATGGTTCGGAAGTAGCAGCAAGAAAAGGTGTAACTATTACATATTACCAGGGTCTATTAGGAGCACCAAGAAAGGTGTAGCTATTATATATACCATGGTCTATTAGGAACACCAAGGGAAGGTGTAACTATTACATATTACCAGGGTCTATTAGGAGCACCAAGAAGGGGGGAGCTATTACATAATTATACCATGGCATTTTAGGAACACCAAGGGAAGGTGTAACTATTACATATTACCAGGGTCTATTAGGAACACCAAGCGAAGGTGTAACTATATCTTACCATGGTCTATTAGGCGCACCAAGAGAAGGTGTAACTATTATATCTTAAAATGGCCTATTAGGAACACCAAGAGAAGGTGTAACTATTATATCGTACCATGGTCTATTAGGAACACCAAGAGAAGGTGTAACTATTATATCTTACCATGGCCTATTAGGGGCACCAAGAGGAGCGTAGGCTGTTACATGTATATTCCTTTTCTGGCAATATTCAACCAACTGACTGTTTGAAAATAGTGGGTTAATTTCCAACTGTAAAAAAAAGATATTTTCCTATGAAAATTAATAATTGTTCCAATCAACAAATAGATTTGTTTGTTTTGTATGACCAGCAAAATGGAAGTATTTTAAAAAAAATGACGCATTGGAGTAAATAACTTTGTTTAAACAGTGGTTGGATAACGTGAGAAAATGACATAATGATGGCATTTTATTAAAGGGTGGAATTATCTCTACCAATTATTTAGTTTCGTTTACAGCCTGGGTCTTATTTTTGGAGATTTAAGCTAAAATATTTTAAGAATACTGGAGGTTCATTGGCTGGGCACTACAAACATAGCACAAATTTGAGCTCTTCTTCAGTGAAAAGACTGCATGCCTAAATTTGAGGTTTTCTTGAACAAGGTTCCTTGTTTCTATATATTCCAGTGTTGGCATACCGATGGAATTGCGTCGGATCTTCCTGCCAGGTTACTGATGCAGGACGGGAAAGTTTAGTGTTCGAAAGGGACAAAAGCGTGTATACCCCTGGCAACATGATAACGACCCCCCTTTTACTTTAAAATCAAATTATGGACAGGCTGTTGCGCCATCATCCGGACCAAATTTATATCCTAGCACACTGTATATCATATACCCGCCTTCATTAGCCTGGATGGATAAAACACAGTGTGACGTTAAACACCATTTCTTTTCATATTTTGAATTAAATCAACCTGACTAAAACACAGATCCTATTTCGTTTCGTCTGTTATAGTTCAAAATTTTGTTTTATTTGTCTTTACTACACTAGGATCTGAAGTTGTTATATAACCTGCGTTCTGGGTAGCGTGAGGGATTAGCCAATGAAACTATCTGTTACGGCGACTTCTTGGCGTGCGATGCACGGAATTAAGGGTAAACCTCCAGAAACGTCAACGCTGATGGATTTATCAATGTCTGACCTCATTGGATCAAAAGCCGTTCATATGACACCTGACACGGCCTTTTACTACAACCGGTCAGATCTTCTTGTAGTGTAGGCCATCGAAAGTATAAAAAACGAAACGAAATATTCATCTGTATTTTAATCAGATTGGTATTAAATGTACTTGTTCTACAAATAAACAATACTTATAGTAACCTGTATAACAGATGGTCGTATTCTTGAAGCATCAATAATTCTCTGTACTTGTAAATGATTAAAATTAGATAATCCGATATTTCTAGCTAGATCAGCATCTACACAATCTTCCATTCCCTTTAAGTAAATATATATAAAAAAAACCCCCACAAACATGTGCAAATATATAAATCGAAACAAATGTCTGAGCACTAATTACACGTGTATTGATTAAAAAGTTATCTAATAATGTTATGAATTAGCTTACCTTCCACGTATCTACAATGTCATGGTATGCAAATATAATGTTGCCATCGTTATCTTTAGGAAAAGGATCGTCTCCGTCCTGAAAATAAAAAAAAAACAATCAGCGTGCCAGAAGGGTAATAAACATTCCCCTTTTTTAAATTTAACAAACATAAAGGTTGAAAAGGGTTCTTTAGATAGTAATCTAGTACAGTAAACAACTTAGATGTTAATAGATAGAAATGAGATATATTTAAAGAGTTTTAAAAAGCACAAAACATGTTACCTTAAAAGAAACTGGATAATGAACTAAAAGGAGGTTGACATAACTTAATCCAAGTTGAACCAAAGATTGCTTCAAGTTTTCCTTTACGGCATCACGACGATGTGCTGTGTCCCAAACCTTTTAAATGAAAGTAGTGTCAATTTTAAATACTGCAGTAGATTCATTTAAAGATACATTATGGGAGATTTTTATAGAGAGTTGGCCATTCTTGCTATAACAGTTCAAAAGTAGATGAAGAAAGAAGAATATATTGAAAAATTCAGTCAAATTACTTTATTCTGAACATAGTTATCATCGTTGGAATATTTGCCTAGAAATGGTAGCGAATTGTGTCTTCACCTTCGCTGATCGTTTGATTGACAGGCGTTAACTCCACCTACATATCTCGATTATCAAGTAAAGTTTTCAATGGCATACGGAAACGCTTTACAGCGGCCTCGCTAAGTACACTCTATCATTTAGCCTCGATCTAACAGACGTATTTTCATCAGGTTACCCCTTATCTGATTTAATCAATTAGTGAAATCCTATTTAAATCCGAGCTGTAGCCGAGCCATCCGTGGGTCTACAGAGTTGATTTTGGTCTAATTTATAATTTCTATAACATCTGAAGCCTAAATTAAGACTTGCAATAATCAGATTTAGCTCTTGCATAACGCATGTTTAAGGCGGAGTATGATTTTTAATTTTGCTTAAAAATCGTACATTCTTACCGTAAGATGTAGTCACAATAGATTGTGGGTATTGTAGGGGGACATAATTCATATAAGATGGTAGTTATCTGATATCCGGTCATCACGCATAGAGTGTCCTTTTTACAAATGCCCATTACTTATTATAAACCCAGTTTATGCATATAACATGTTTGGAAGTGAGTAATCTAAAAACGGGTTTGTTTTGTTGTTAGCTATGACCTCCATCCAATCATTAATTTTATAAAGATAATAAAATTGAATTTAGATTTCGTAGTCCGGTCGTTATTTTTGCGTTTATTTGTCCGTGACAATTTTTGTAATAATATTGCTGGAATTTTTGCTCTTGAAATAAGATGCCTTTATATTTCATTAATTAATATCTTTGGCAAGTTAGTAATTTCAAACATATTCACATATATAGTGTGCACTAAATCAACTTAGTCTGTAATTGACAGTTGACTCATAAAAAAGAGTTATTTATCGAAAACATATGTCACTCATTTACCACCAGAATTACACGTGAGTGGAATTATTCTAATTGCATCATTTGATTTAAAGTAACCAGTCATTTTGTTAATTACACAAGTTCAGGGCCATGATCACGCTTTATGGTGCATGATATTCATTTACCTTTAAAAGAAACCGGGGAACCCTGTAAGTCAGACTTGCATTAGATTCCAGAGATCGAGGGTACATCTGAGTTCCTAGACAGCCGAGAGACTGCATAGGGTGGAGAAGTGGTTTTAGCTATATAGTATTGTAATTTGTGCTATGCTTGTATACCTGTATTCAGTTATATGTTATATAAAATGTAGAAGCGAACTATGCATTATTATACCTGGTATGACAAACGTCTTAAGAAACTGGAAGACGTAAATACACAACGTGAAGCAGAAGTAAAGACAGCTAGAGACAAATCCTAGACGATCACAAGGCTACAGAAATATGTAGTAAGAAAAGATGCATGGGTCGTACGTAGGATGTGGCGACCGGTTTCCCATAGACGCTCTCCACGCCAGACAGAAGGCTCATGGTGCTACATATTCTATTTGGTTCCCGCGACAGTTTCGACCTTTAGGGTAAGCAGAAAATTTGGAAGAAGATTAGAAGAAAAGAGAGTATGCATCACACGTTGGATGTGGGGAGTTCTCCCGTAATATTTTCCACATCTAACCAGTGACTGCATAGCACTGCATAGCACTGCATAGTCTTACATATTCCATTTGGTTGCCGTAACGGAGTTTCGACCTTTGGGGTAAGAAGTCACTTTAGAAGAAGAATACATATTTGAAGACGTTAAGAAGAAAAAAAGATCTGTACAATCCAGCAACAGAGGAAAAGTTCTGGTGGAAAAAAAAAATCTGGTGAAGATATTCGAAAAATTGGGTAAATACATTTTGTTTGGAAAATTAAATGTGTTAAATTTGTTTAAAGACCAAATAATATTAATTTAAAGTTAAAATCTGATAAGAAACTAAATATTTAAAATTTAACTGTATAGAGAATAAATTACAGTCATTCATAAGTTAAGATTGAAAGGTTTATTAAACAATATAATATCACTGGTTAGGTGTGTATATTATCGGGTTATCATGACCTGTAGTAAAATTAAAGTTAAAGTTTAGGGAGTAGGTTTTAAAAAAAAATGTTTTGATATAACTAATATATAATAAGGAAACGGAATAGGGAATAAAATAAGGAACTAATGTTGTCTCCGGATCGCAGTGACAACGACGGCAGAGCTCAGGATGAAATTTGTGAGTGATTAACTCTAGTTTCCTAGTTGGCCGTGTTTCAACTGTGATTCGTTAATTTGTGTTTTTTGTTGTTTCGTACACTATATAATTTTAGGGCCCTTAGTCCAGGCCTTAGAGTTGTTGTAATTTAACTTTTGTTTAAAATGTTAGGTTATGTTGAAAATCCCATATGGTTAATCTAGGGATGTTGGTTATAGTTTTCCTGGGGAAAAACTAAAATTAAAGGCTCGTTAAATTGTGAGATTATCGCAAAGTCATTAATACGAGTTTTATAGGAGGTTAAAGTTAAGAATACGACACTTTTTAGAAAAGTGGAGGAATACGGTAAATTTTGTCCGTATATAATTTTATGTAATTAAATTTTTGCTTTAGAAACGTAATATTAACGTTTAGTATATACTGCTAATTGCTTTAAGCTGTCGACACGAGAGGATTAGAATGTGTAATTTGACATGAGGTCGAATTATTATAAACAATAGGTTCTAACACTGTGTTAAATTTGATGTGTGTAAAAGTCGCTTGACTTCAGTGGTTAGTGAGTGAAATTATATGTGTGATTAAAAGCTGGGTGTATATTCTGATTGTCATGATTATATAAATATGGACTGTGTTCTGATTGAACGGAGCGTACGGCCATTTTCTCTCAACATAGTTGTAGATAAATTAAATAAAATGGGCTTTAACGTCCTACTGTAGGATAAAATGGGATGTCATTCAACATAGTTGTAGATAAATTAAATAAAATGGGCTTTAACGTCCTACTGTAGGATAAAATGGGATGTCATTCGGATAGTGGCCATATCTGTGTGTCATCCTGGCTAATGTAATAATAAAGGGAATGTTTATGTAATAGTGGAAGGTTTGTAAAAAAAAAAACGAAATACAAAATTGTAAATGATTAGGTCAAAAAGGTCACATTACTGGCGGTGAAAAATAAAATAACAGTGTAGGAATTCTAAAACAGAAACGGAAATTATAAAACATAAACGTAATTCTAAAATTGTCCATTACTCAGTTCAGGTCAAGAGGTCAAACTTAGTTTGAAAATTTCTAATTAAAGGGACACATCAAAGTTTATTAATACTTAAATAAAGTTTAATTTTAATTACAGTAAGATTTGCTAATACGTTTTCGAAATAATATATTAATAATAACGTTAGACTAATAGCAACATAAAGTTTTTTAAAAAAAAAATAGTAATAGTTAGTTCTTGGTCTGATGGCAATGACATGTTTGATTGACGGATAAAATTGTACAAACCAATCATACTTAGAAGAAAAAAAGAAAGTTTCAACTTGATACTATGGTAGCTGAAACAGACCAATACACATCCAAGAAGAAGAAATGGTTTACCAGTTTACCAAATTGACATTTCCTGAGACAGAATTTAAAGTGAAACCTGAACTTTATAAATATTACGTGATGTGTTATAGTGTTTTGAAATTAGGGCACTTGAAGATTTAAAAAAGACAATTTGTGTTTTCTGTGTTTAGGCTTAGTGAATTTTCATAGGATTTTACAGTGATGAACTTTTTGGAGAACTTTTGCATGCAACTTTTGATTTTTGATTTTTGATTATGTGTGTCTGTGTTTTCACAGTTTTGTTATATAGTATAGTATCATTGATATTTGCCTGTTGCCTGAATAATTATAGGGTTTAGCACATAGAAGTTTTTAAGAGTCTCCTACCTGTTCATTTAGCATAAATCTTGCAAGTGGGGGAGGTGATATATGTTGATTTTCTAGATTTCTGCTACATTTATGAATAGTTATATAATTCTACAGATGTTGGTATGATTATTGTAAAGGATTCAAGGGATCTTTTACCCAATACCGAGCAAAAAGTCTTAAAGGAAGGGACGAATGTAATAATATTGCTGGAATTTTTGCTCTTGAAATAAGATGCCTTTATATTTCATTAATTAATATCTTTGGCAAGTTAGTAATTTCAAACATATTCACATATATAGTGTGCACTAAATCAACTTAGTCTGTAATTGACAGTTGACACATAAAAAAGAGTTATTTATCGAAAACATATATCACTCATTTACCACCAGAATTACACGTGAGTGGAATTATTCTAATTGCATCATTTGATTTAAAGTAACCAATCATTTTGTTAATTACACAAGTTCAGGGCCATGATCACGCTTTATGGTGCATGATATTCATTTACCTTTAAAAGAAACCGGGGAACCCTGTAAGTCAGACTTGCATTAGATTCCAGAGATCGAGGGTACATCTGAGTTCCTAGACAGCCGAGAGGCTGGATAGGGTGGAGAAGTGGTTTTAGCTATATAGTATTGTAATTTGTGCTATGCTTGTATACCTGTATTCAGTTATATGCTATATAAAATGTAGAAGCGAACTATGCATTATTATACCTGGTATGACAAACTTCTTAAGAAACTGGAAGAAGTAAATACAAAACGTGAAGCAGAAGTAAAGACAGCTAGAGACAAATCCTAGACGATCACAAGGCTACAGAACTATGTAGTAAGAAAAGATGCATGGGTCGTACGTAGGATGTGGCGACCGGTTTCCCATAGAAGCTCTCCACGCCAGATAGAAGGCTCATGGTGCTACATTTTTGGAGACGGAAAAAGGATAATTTTAATGGACATGGGCAATTATCCATAATAAAATTTTAAAAAATGGTTTAATATGTATAATACACGTTTGTTAACGTTCACAAGAATGGGTATCTTTTAATCATCCATATTTTGAGTCTACCTACGATATTCCGAGAGGATTGCTTTATTTTATATCGATTATTGCGGTGAAAGTTGAAAGTATACAGCTACTATACTAGTTTATAATTAATAAATTCAAAAAGGCAGAACTTAAAACCCTGCAAGTAAATAGACATCCGAGTCTCACCGTGTCACACGGTAGCGGTAGCGGCTGTTACACCGAATTTTTGTCGTGTCTTTATCGAGGACAAACGACACGATTATTCCGTTTCTTAGACCGATCTCGACAGGCGTACTGAGTCCATTGACATTATGCAATCATTATGTTCTTCAAACTCATAACAAGTGAACCTAACAGTCAATAAAAATCCCAATACTGCTGTTCCAGGCTGCGTTTATGTGAAGTGTGGGCAGTTTGGTTAGCGCTAAATGATAAGGCCAGCTCAATTTTTCATCACAGGTCAAAAGTTGTAAACAGGGCTAGCGCTAATCCCAGCCCTGACCCTAAACCTGGAGCTAGCCCTAATGCACCTCTAACCCTAACCTACAATCTCGCCAGCAATCGCATGCCCTTACCTTATTTACATCTCAGCGACCTTGACCAAAATTGAGCTGGCCTTAACAGATAGGTTTAGCCACTTTAGAACCCAAGAATGAACACGAGTGATATTCTGTTTATTTGAATCAATGACTGACAAAGACAGAACTCTCACTGGCTGAAGAGGCCTCTAGTAGATCTGTGCGTACAACGCCTATCCATGCACGAACTTCTAAACGAGGCATGAAGCACAGGCGCCTGTAACGTGGAAAGTATGTGTCTAAATTCTGTTACGTCCATGTCCGTAAGCGAGAATATCAAATAACTGGTCTCATTCCATAAAAAAAAACCGGAACCGAAGAAGATATTATGGGGTTTTTTTAAATTGTAAATTCACCAACTGAAACTAGGAGAAATATTTGTGGTATGTTAGGTATTTCACCCTTCCCACCCATTCTCTTATTTTTTGAAGTGCAAACCCATTTTGGATGACGAAAACACGCCAACGACACATTCTGTACCAGTCCGAAGGCTTACCTTAGTGGTAACAAACAAATCGTCTCTTTTAACAGCTCCTTCATCAATACTTTCTTTAATAGCTTGACCAACTTCCTCTTGGTTTTTATAAACCCAGGCACAGTCAATATGGCGATATCCTACTTTTATAGCTTCTTTAACAGCTCTATATATCTCGCCCTCGCCACCCTGTAATAAAATGTAGAATAAAAATATGATGGTCAGGTTTCTTCTGTTTACTAAAGTGAACTATCTATTAATTATAATTTCACAAATATTCAGTAACCATTATGATCCCAGTGGTTTCGATAGTACGTCTAATCACCGAAGTCATTAAAGGAGCTACACCTCTAACATAATATTTTCCATAAGATTAGAAATTAAAAACATGAATCAATATTCAATATTGGTCCATTCCAATCAATATTGATGTTGTTATATGCCGTGAAAATATTGGATCCTAATATCAAATATTTCGGATATAATAAACAACTTAAAATCAATACACGAGTCGTGTATTCTGTGCTTTCGGGTGCCATTTAGTAGTGGTAGTGGGGGACTGGGGTGGGTGTCATATCATAAATGTCAGGCTCGGATCCTGGATTTAGTCGAGGGGGGGGGGGGGCATACATTGGAGCAAAGGGTAATCATCAGAGTGCCGCATGCATTAGTGCCCCCCCCCCCCGGATCCGCGCCTGAATGTATTGTCCAGTTCCCAAAATCCCCAGTATTTCCAAATTTAATGGATAGCCAAGCCCCTGGCTAGTTACTAAAAGGTGTACACCACACCCAAGCACATAACCCCAAATAAAACGGTGGGCTATATTTAAAGAGGCATAGGGCAAGATTAGATAAAGAGCTGGCAGTTCTCGCTATATTAGTTAAAAATAGATAATGAAAAGGGAATATGTTGAAAGTTTCTGTCAAATTATTTCCTTCTTTGACTAGTTATCGGCGATACAGTATAACACTGTAGTCTCGATTGACATTGCTACTGTAGTTACGATAATAAACATCTTATCCATTTTTACGGTTATTTCTTCAACCACAAGGCGTATTCAAATTCACTAAATATCGGAGCCATCCGATGGAATCGCAAGTTGATTATGGTCTTGGTAAGTTAATTAATGTCTAATTAATAATTTATATAACATTTAAGGCATAAAGAAAGATTTTAGAAATCATACAGTTGTGTGGTTTGGGAGAGAGAGAGAGAGAGAGAGAGAGGGGGGGGGGGTAACGTACATTCGACACAAACTTGATCATTTCGGGACTAACATATGGTTCAATTTTATTTCAATAATTCGCTTGCGCGTAGGGGTGAGTTTGAACTAATTTACTAGTAAAAAGTTGGAGTCGGACAAATATTAACCAATTTACCGATACTGAACAAGAATAGTACTGACAACAATATTTTATTAAACTTTCAGAAATGACAGATTTCAACCTAACTACGGTTATAGGTACCATCTGAATGACTAGACAGTAGTCCTTGTCAGGCCCTCTATCCTGCATCACTGACAAGGGGGAACCACGCCAGAAAAACTGGATGAATTTTCTCGGCCAATGCCGGGATCGAACACCCGACCTCCGAGCTAGCGAGTCAGTGTCTTACCCACCGTGCCCCCCCCCCCCCACACACACACACTCCTACGAGATAAACCTGCGGACAAAAGAGAATATAGACATTGCAAACAATAAACAAATATCAATTCAAGTGAATGGATCCGCTGGTCAGCCGCAAGATGGGATGGTACACGCCAGACTATAGGCGAATAAGCAGACTACACAATTAAAATACATCACAGTCGGTATGACGTTACATGTTAATTATGACGTCACAATCATTCGCTGCAATTATCTTCAAGATCAGCTGCTTTTTACAAATTATCTTTAATAGTTTTTCATTCTCTGTGAGAAAAATGTATATTTTTAACGATCCGTTAATATTATCTGAGAAGAGAGTTCCTGTATTATTCGAGGTTACTTATTATCCTAAATTCGAAGGAGATACACCGCGGTTGGTGGGTTCTTTAAAGGAACTTGGTAACTGGAACTATCATAAAGGGATTGAAGCCAAGAAGATGGATGATAATTTTGTTTGGAGAATCATAATGAAACTTCCCACCAAAAGTTTCTTCTACTTTAACTGGTTTTCGTTTTCCAATAAAAGAGAATTCCAGATAGAAGACACAGGTAGCCGAAAAGGTAACATTGGAATGTATGGAGGGAACATTTCAACTGTTTACGGAGATACAGAATCGTCGTTTGTTTCACGTGCTGGGTGCATTGTGGATATTACTACGCATTATATACTGAACTACAATGAACGAATTGGTGTAGTTGGATCTGGTCCAGGTTTAGGTAATTGGCAAGCTGATGCCGCCATCACTGCCGTGAAATACTCGTGGGGATACTGGACAGTTACATGTAGTGTTGAATTAGAACGAGGTAAAAGACATGAGTATAAATGGGTTGTAATAGATAAAGATAGTAATCAAATAATAAGATGGCAGGAAGGAGAAAATAGAGAGATAGAAATAGGTGCAGGATTAAAGGAATTAAAGATTACTGTTCCATGGACTGGAAACATAATTGACGAGGCTCATGAAGAAATTAGACAGATTGAAATAGATACTGAAATAAAGGAATTACAGAATGGTGATGTATGGACTGAAGAAATAATTGACGAGGCTCGTGGTGAAAATAGACAGATAAATGATGGAATAAAAAAATTAAAGATTGATTTTGAGGATAATAAAGAAATCGACGCTTTAAGTAAGTAACCCATTTATAAATTTATTATTTATCTTCTTGTTTTTATCTATTCTTAATTTGTCGAAGCGATCAGAAAACAACTGATATTGATAATCGAAAATTGTCAATGTATAGGCAAGACTGTACCAACAGCGGATCGAGCCTCAACAGTTACAGTGATTTACCGAACGGGTTCTCGGTTAAATTAACTACCGGGCCGAGGCTAACGGTACATGTTTTTACCCAGTGGGCAGTTGCTTTGTCACAGGGATCAACCGTTATGACTGGTATCGAGGGAGTTGCCCCCCTTGTCAGTGACTCCGGGCAGAGGGATTGGGAAAAGCCGAGGCTCTGTGTACGCATTGGCGTTCACGTAAAAACAAAACCCTTGACAGTTGGAATTTGATAGAAGAGTACCTCGTAGCGCCGCTGTCCGGGGGGAATTTCATAGCACACTGTATAGCGCATACCCGACCCGACTTGTTAGCCCAGTCAGACCAGAACAGTAGGACGTTTAACTCCATTTCATTTTATTTTTGCATGCTTTGATTTTGTTTGTTTTGTTGATTATTCTGGTGGTATGTTAAGGCTTAATGAACAACCTAGACAGATAGTGAAAGATAGACGGCAGACATGTCACCAGATTTTTATAGTTTTAACAAGAATTTACGATCAGTGGAGATTCAATCAATAAACAGCCAGACCTTATCGAGCGTGTAATCATGATTGTTAATTTAATACACTTATATTTGGGATATGGAATTTAGTTTCAAATAACTTTACGCGATTTTAAATTAAATCAAATATTCGAAGAACATTCAAATAATGAATTATACTATTTGAATTGTAAGATCATCATTCGATGTGAGCATTATTTGGAACATAAATCTAATTTTTAATATTTCAATAAAGTGTCAATTTAGATATAATAAGGACTGCGTGTACACGCGTGCAATAAGGACTGCGTGTACACGCGTGCAAGACTTTAATCAGGCATATATGGGTGGGGCGAGAAGGGAGTTGGGTGGGGTAGATATATGTCAGACACATCTAGTGTCTTCACATCATGGATTACAAATCATCGCAAAGCCAAGACAGTAGCAGTAATATTTAAAGCCTATTAATATTAATATAAAAACTATTTATTTGTATTTAGTAGATTTGTTTTTCTAATATTTATATTTTAACATTTATAAAAATTTAAATATATTTATTTTAATATTTATAATTATTAACATCTTAATTTAAATAATATATATAAATAATTATATTATTTTTATTTTTATATTTATAAATATTTACATCTAAATTTACATAATATATCTAAATTTACATAATGTATCTAAATTTACATAATATATCTAAATTTACAGTAGCAGTAATATTTAAAGCCTATTAATATTAATATAAAAACTATTTATTTGTATTTAGTAGATTTGTTTTTCTAATATTTATATTTTAATATTTATAAAAATTTAAATATATTTATTTTAATATTTATAATTATTAACATCTTAATTTAAATAATATATACAAATAATTATATTATTTTTATATTTATAAATATTTACATCTAAATTTACATAATATATCTAAATTTACATAATGTATCTAAATTTACATAATATATCTAAATAATAATATTTTTTATTTTTATATTTATATATATATGCATATATTTACATAAATAATTATATATAATATTCTTATAAATATTTACATCTAAATTTACATAATATATATAAAAATTATTATAAATTTTCTTATAAATATTTACATATTGTTATTTAAATATTTTAGATAATTATATATTTTTATTTTAATATTTATAAATATATTTACCTATATTTTTTTTAATATTTATAAATAATTATATATTTTTATTTTGATATTTATAAATGATTACGTAATTTCATATTTTATATGGAACCAATAAAAAATGTATAGAATAAAGAATGTTGTGTGGATTATGTTCATTTGTTAACAGGAGCCACGGTGGTGCATGGGGGGGGGGGGGGCGTGTATGGTGAGAAAATGGTCACATATTTTGAGAGCGTCTTAATTAATTGTTCTTCTACTTCCACCATGTAACAACAATTTGATGTGCTAATCCCGCGATCCCGCCAACAAACGATCTGGTTGTCCAAAAGGAACAATAAATAGATGTACTAAAGGGTTTTTTTCGTGGGGGTCTAATAATTATTTTTATTTAAAAAAAAAACTCATTTAAAAACACAGCTACTGGAGGAGGGGCTACGTTGTATTCTCGTTGGAAATTCAATAAAAAGTGTTTTTTTTTGTTTTTTTTTTGTTTATTTTTAATTTCTTAAAAACTAAGTGTTTCTTTAAATGTGACCTTTGGGAGCTTGACCTCTACCGTGACCCAATATACGCTTTAAGTATCAGTCCGCACCATTGACATCATATTAGGCGACCCTACTACTTGTCGGGTACAAGCGGGGAATCGAACCACGTCATTTAACTCAATGACATACCTTATGATTTAACTAGCACGCATTAAACCATTCAGCCACCCAACAACCCCGCAACCACGAAAGAACTCTATACCGAAAACAATTTGTCTTCATTACTATGGTTATATGCTCTTGACTCGATTGTGACATATTCAATATATATTATACTTACTTGCCACACTGTCCAGGTACCAAAACCAACAGTAGGTATCTTATCACCACTCGGCAGTTGTAATTCACGAGATACAGGCATTTTTAAAGATGGATAAATAGCCGGTATATAATGAGGGGAGTAATACGATGCCTGCTATAAAGTAGGCTAACTAACAGGGTGACCTATAATTCAAGAACATGGTAAATAGATAACGTATAACTTACAATACCCATTGATAACGTTTAAAGCGAGCACGCATGGCTTACAATACCCATTGATAACGTTTAAAGCGAGCACGCATGATATATCTTGTCGTTCTGTGAGAATTTGAAATGAAATGAAACGGGGTTTAATGTCCTACTTTTCTGCTCCGACTCGGTTAATGAAGACGGGCGTCATATAGTGTGCTATGGGGGAAATTTTGTTCGTACAACGGTATATTGTCTACTACTATATCGAATTCCATCTGTCAAGGGATATTTTACGGTCACGCCAATGTAAACACGGGATGTCTTTTTTTTGGTCACATTCCAACGACTATATGTTGTCCGTTGTCAGGAGTGACGCCCTATGGCAAGTTTTCGGGGTCTGAAGTTAATTCTCGTGAGATGTTTTACTAAAACGAACAAATTCGCAACAACAACCAGGATACCTTCTACGTTACAAACTTAATATTCCATAAATAAATAGGGTTTAACGTGTGTGTGTGTGGGTGTGTGTGGGGGGGGGGGGGCAGCGTCGTTTCTGTCCACTTGTCATCGAGTGCTCGGCAACGTGAATACAGTACCTCGACTTTTCGTCCTATGAAAACATTAAACATGCTGGAAAATAACGAAGTACTTTTTCAGCCAACACCGGGATTGTCACGAGATCTTCTGGTAAGTGCCACACTGATCAGCAGTGAATATTTGGCTAGGCCGCTACAATCACTGAGAGGGATGACATCGGTACGGCTTAATGAGCTCGCGAAGTAATAGAAAATTAAATACTGGTGTTTGAAGTATGTCTGAAGTTTTGACAAGATGTAGCGTAGATTGTTTATTATCGTAGCAACGGTACTAAGTGTCGATTATTTATTCTTAAACTGTTTCAATCTATTTAAATCTCGACCATCCGATGGTCTATAGAGTTGATTATAGGCTTGTCATGTGAATAAATGTCTAATAATTTATAATACATTTGAAGCCAAATTAAATACCTGCAATATGCAGATGCAGCTGTTACATAATGTATCTTTAACAGATAAGGTGATAGAAATCAAATCAAAAGAAATGGGGTTTAACGTCCTACTGTTCTGCTCCTAACCTGGGCTAATGAACACGGGCATACGCCATACAGTGTGCTTTGAGGGAAATTTTGCCTGGGCAGCGGCGCTACGGCCTACTTTTATATCGAATTCCAACTGCCAAGGGATCTTTAACGTGCACGTCAATGTGTACACGGGACCTGGGTTTTTCGTACCATCCGAACGACTAGACAGCTGTCCTTGTCAGGCACTCCATCCTGCATCACTGACAAGGGGAAACCACGCCGGAAAATCTGAATAAACTTTCTCGGCCAATGCAGGAATCGAACACCTGAACTCCAGGCTAGCGAGCCAGCGTCTTACCCACTTAGCCACGTGATCCCCGATAGAAATCAGATTATATTATCTTGACCATATTGTATCCCGGTGGTCCTATGTTTGACGCGCTTTGTTCAGCATTATCAAATAACTGCATTCAGATTATGTACAGGATCCAGGTAAACCATGTAATGCAGCCATGCGTTAATACGGCGAAGATCATTCTAAACACAGAGACACGCTTCATTATTTGTGATAATTTTTTAAAGAAAGATTAGGGCTGAACATTTTTAACACGGGTAAATTAACTAACAAGTTGCTGTCTGCTGTCTATGAAGTTGTGATTGTAACACAGCAGGTGTGCCAAACGAGAATGTTCTTGGTCCATAACTATGGATTGAACAAGGATCATAGAGCCCTGAACACAAGGGAAATTCACTCACTGCACCACAGGGATACAGACCGTCAATATTCGCTCGCGAATGTTTTTCTGGTCTCTCTTACGGGCTTTAACTTTTTCCAATATCTTGCTTACGAGCTTAGATGAGGTTACCCGTGGCAATTTTGAGATATAAAACTTTGTAAGTAGCATACCAATTAAAATGTACACACTCGGCGTATATATCACCATACCAAACCACTGATCTATGTTTCCTCCTTGTCAGTGATGCAGGACGGAGGGCCTGACAAGGACAGCTGTCTAGTCCTTCGGATGAGACGAAAAACCGAGGTCCCGTGTATACATTGGAATGCACGTAAAAGATCCCTTGGCAGTTGGAATTCGATATAAGAGTAGGCGATAGTGGCGCTGCCCGGGCAGAATTTCCCAAATAGCACACTATATGGCGTATGCCCGTCTTCCTCATGAGTATTAACAAAAATCGGACAGAAAATAGAATCAAAAAGTCAACCGGAGGAAGTAATTAGTGGTCTGCATCCACAACAAACCCTTCATACCTGTAATATGTGTAGGATAAAGCACGAGACTGAGGTTATGCTGGGGAAAGAAAGACTGAAGAAAGCAACCCGATGAAAAGAAAAACCGATCCCGACAGGCGGAGGTTTTTCTGTTGAGGCTTTTTTTCGGACGTCTTTCTTCACCAGCATAACCGAAGTCGAGGACTTTATCTTGCTTATAAACCGTCTATGTTTACATATACGCAAGATGAGAATATCCCAGAATTCCCACAAGAAAAACCTTATATCATGTTTTCTCATGGGAAAAAAACCTACCCTGGAAGAATAATCTGTTACAGGTTTAAAGAAAAACTTTCAGAAGCATAACCCCCAATTTACCTGTATATATCCAAAACCTCCCCCGACTTTCCGACCGCAAGTTATTCCGGGCATAGAATATAACCCAAAGATTAAAGAGATTTACTGTTACAGGTTTATAAATGCAGATGAACGCGAATGGCAATTATTTTATTTCTGTTTTGACTATTGTGTACAGAAACAGTATATTATTAAGTATAGGAATGGTGATCTCTGTTATTACATCGCTGTGGTTGATCTCACCAATCGTTAAAGGGGTATTCAGGATGACCCATACATCTGAAACAAACAAGTCGACATTAGACGTTATAATTCAGTCATATCACACAAATTTGGTCAAATGGTTAAAATAGGATTAATGGACTGCCTGGATGACCCTGACTCCTCAGTTGAAATGCTTCTGAATAACGACAGTTAGATTCATCTGATAATTCGTACAGTAGCCTAAGAGTGCCGAGTGCCGGACACAACTTTGCGACTACTCATATTGAATATATTCTATAAGACAACTTCTGATAACGCCTTCAAGATTTGAATAGTTACGAATGCAGCGTTACCAACTAGTCTTCTTCGAATTCCAACTTCAAGGAATCTTCTACGTGCACCACCCATTTGTAAAGTAAATGTTGGCAATTGAATTTATACATAAACAAGTAAATTAAATTAGTCCTTACAATTCCTCCAAATAAGCTCTGAAGTTTTGGTCTAACGCCGCCATCTTCTTCATCTCATCTTCATTTAATTCAAAATCAAACAACTAAATTGATAATAAGATATAAATCATAACAACTAAGTCAACATGAAAATAATAATAGGCTGAATTTTAGGTTACTTCTACCAATATTATCAACGTTTAACAGTGCGATGAACATTGCCATGGGAATTTTAAAACTAAACTTTATTTTTATGGTAAGTGCAGGGGGACCGCGCCACACACAAATATTGGCTACAAGACAAGCCTACGGACAGGACATAATATACAGAAACCACAGCCACCAGATCAAGTGAATGGATCTGTTCCGGGGGATAGCCGTAAACGTCCACTGTATTTGTCTGGTTCTGGAGATTGCAAATTGCAAATCGATCTTTCGCGTGCACTACCGATATGTACATGACTAGGTATCAGACCCGCGAACGTTACACTAAGAGTTGTTTCCCTTTGGACCAGCTAGACAACGCCTTGCTTGCCAGACCCGCAAGCACCAAACGGACTTGTAGAACCTAGGATCCGAACTGAGACCATTTCCAGTTTTGAGTTTCTGTATTGAAATGATGTTTAAGAGTTTGGATATCCTAGTTGGAATGAGGTTCCAGTGGATCAATACTTGTTTTTAAAGGCATTTCACAAATAACTAAGGCCTACCTCGAAATTTTCTTTGATTCGAGCAGGATTTGAACTTTGAGGAATGATAACCAGACCGCGCTGTAGTAGACATCTCAATACAATCTGGAAAACAATGGAGTGAAATTAGGTTTAACTTTTGCTGGCAGTTTATTTTTAGACTAAAGTACGGTACATTTTACTTCTTTGGTTACGTGTGCAACTCGAGGTGGAGATTGTTTTTGCCGAACATTAGCGCTTCCGCCACCTCTTATTCGAATTTCACCCCCAACGATAAGACGGGGTTACCTTGCCATCCCTGCAATCGACACCCTTGACAAGACGCACTTTTTTGTCAGCCCTGCAGGCGACACACCCGACAAGACGCGCTGAAATATGTGAACTGGACTAGATGAATTCCTAAGTTTCTTTTCGACGAACGCCACCACCACAGAGGCCGCTTATCTAGAAAACATCTCTGGTTTTATTTGTATATCACAAGATATATTAATAAAGTTAAGTCGTGTACCTGAGCAGGTGTTTTTCCTTTCGCCGAAGCTATCTGTTTTACGACTGGTTTTTCTAACAGATTTGGATCATCTGCGGTCTTCCTAAAACATCAAATAAAACATGACCCAACGAGTACATTCAGATGGACCCGAAAACCTGCATGGCGTATGTCCGCCTTCGTTAGTACCCATGTTTCATTAGGTGCACCAAGAGAAGGTGTAACTATCATCTTATCATGGTATTTTAGGAACACCAAGAGAAAGTGTAGCTATTATATCTTACCATGGCCTACTATGAATCCCAAAAGAAGGGGTGTATTAGTAGCACTAAAAAAGGTTATGAGAAGGTGTAACTATTATATCTTATCGTGGTCTATTAGGAACACCAAGAGAATGTGTAACTATCATACATGTATATCTCACCATGTTGTATTAGGAACACCATGAGAATGTGTAACTATTATATCTTACCATGGTCCATTAGGGGCACCAAGAGAAGGTGTAACTATTACATATTACCAGGGTCTATTAGGGACACCAAGAGAAGGTGTAACTATTATATCTTACCATGGTCTATTAGGAACACCAAGAGAAGGTGTAACTATACCTTACCATGGTCTATTGGGGACACCAAGAGAAGGTGTAACTATACCTTACCATGGTCCATTAGGGGCTCCAAGAGCAGGCGTGACAAATTATTATATCTTACCATGGTCTATTAGGGGCACCAAGAGGACCGTAAGCTGTTACAACTATATCTCTCTTCTGACAGTATTCAACCAACTGACTGTTCGAAAATAGTGGGTTAATTTCTACCTAGAAAATAAATATTTGTTATCAAGAAAAATCCTAATAAATTATTTCACACTTTCAACAAATAAATTTATGTAAATGATATTTGATATAGGTAAACCAATATTAACGTGTATTAGAAGGGAGGAACTTGACATGAATGGTAGGATTTCGTCAGTTTAAAGGAGCTAAACCTCTAACTCAATATTGTCCAAAATAATATTCCAAATTAAAAACACGAATTAGAATTCCAAATTGGTCAATTTCAATCAATATTGTTATCTTTCCCTGAAAATTAGGGATCCTTATATCTAATATTTAAGACACGGTGGACTTCATCCCGTCTTCCTTAGCGCAGTCATTTACTCGTTTTAGTTGATTTTAAATTAAATGTACTTGTTATACAATAAACAATGCTTATAGTAACCTGTATAACAGATGGTCGTATTCTTGAAGCATCAATAATTCTCTGTACTTGTAAATGATTAAAATTAGATAATCCGATATTTCTGGCTAGATCAGCATCTACACAATCTTCCATTCCCTTTAAGTAAATAAATAAATGATATAAAAATAGTCCTACCCCAATATGTGTGATAAACATCAACACGTCAATAAAGATTTTGATTTATTAAAAATAATATAGCTTGCCAGCCAGTAACTATGGTTACTCAATGGATTTGCAAACAACGGCGAAACTGTCGTCAGATATTGTGATATAAACAAATCAAGATGCAAAAATGATGCGCCATTTTGAATTTCACGTAAACCTGCAGGTTGGGATATATATTATTCGCTGCCCTCCAAGTTATTGATTGTCCTTGAAACGCGATGAAGAGCAGACGGCTAAAAAGAGCATGTCACAACAAATGCGTTCTGTTTTTAAAAGATAACATGAGCTAATGTCACGGGATTCGGTTTAATGAACTGAAAAAAAACTTGCACCATACATTTGTATATATACACGCTATCAGTCCACCCGGTACATCTTATTATCGTTTAATATCACGACAACATTTAAAGATATCATTCCTGAAGCCTGTATGAGCCGAAGTGGCTCTGGGAGTAAGTCGACGGCTCGCTAAGCCTGAGTTCCCGTGTTCGATCCCGGTGTTGGCCGAAAGAGTTCATCGGGTTTTTCCGGAGCGGTTTTCTCTTCCCAGTGGTGCAGGACTGAGTGTCTAGTCGTTCGGATGGGACGAAGCCCTGAGGTCCCGTGTACACATTGGCGTGCACGCAAAAAGAACCTGTTGACTGTTGGAATTCAAAATTTCGAAATAATAGTAGGCTGTGGCACCGCTGTCCGGGCAAAATGTACCTCATAGCCCACTGTACGGTGTACTCCCATTTAGTCCAGTCGGTGCAGAAAAGTGGGACGTTAAGCCAATGTTTTCAAAAGAATAAAAACATCTAAACGGAGCGACTAATCATAGCAGATATCGTTGAGTAACAAAGCAGGTCATATCACACAATCATGTCGACTAACAGATAATCCGGGCTACCTTAAAGTGCAGATCGCCATTCCGAGATAAACTGAGGCGTGTTTGCCACGAAACAACCGGGAATGGATCTTCTAACAAATAATTAAATCACATAAGAGGAGTGGAAATGTAATTTGTTGAAACCTTTCATAAAGTTAATAATTTCTTTGTACAGACAATCCACTGTAACTAGTTTAAAATTAAATGGCTTCCCAATAAATGTCTGTATTTATCATATTTCTTTTTATTGTTCATCAAACTTAAATCGTCGACATTCAGTTAAGAATAAAATGAAATGGGGTGTATTAACGTCCTTCTGTTCTGCTCCTACTGGGCTAATGAAGACGGGCATACGCCATACAGTGTATCAGGACGGAAATTGTGTCCGGTGAGCGGCGCTGCATAACCTATATCGAATTCCAACCGAAAACAAAGCTATAAAAGCGATCGCTTTCTGTTTAACAAAATTGGCACGCTGATTCAGTGAACTCAATCCCGTTCACTCCGAAACTAAGCTTACCTTCCACGTGTCAACAAGGTCATGATGGGCAAATATGATCTTGCCATCGTTATCTTTAGGAAAATCGTCCTCACCTTCCTGAAAAATGAATAAACAAATGATAAACAATGCTAATCTTTAGCAGGAGAGGGAGAGGGCGGGGAGAGGGCGGGGGGGCTAACGTCCACTCGACACAAACTAGGTCATTTCAATAATTCGCTTGCGCGTAGGGGTCTGTTTGATTTGAACTACTTTACTAGTAAAAATTGGAATCGGAAATCTTCCCGGACAAAAATTAAGCCGTTTACCGACACGGAACAAAAATAGTACTGACAGTAATATTTTATTAACCTTTCAGAAGTGATAGATTTCAACACAATTACCACAATTTAAAGGAGCTAAATCACTAATATTTGGGACCTAGAAATGGACCCAAATGGGTCGCAACGTATATAATAATGTAATTTGATTGTATGTAAACTGATTTACAGTCAATTGTTTCCGTTTTGACTCTTTAATTTCAAATCAGTTATGTCAAGCGAAATACGGCCTGTGTCTCAACCCAATAGCAATTTCTAGCGTCTGGTTATTCCAGTCTATTGAGCAGGTTCTCCAGTTGAATATGTCTTGCCTCGTTCTTTCTGGTCACTTGTTGCAAATGACGCTAAAACGCACTATGGTACACGATTCGTGTACCAATGGTAAAATGTTTATTCTGTCTTAAATATTGGATATCAGAAGCCTGTCTTTTCCTGGTAAGATCACAACATCAATGTTGATTTGAATTGACAAATAATTCGTATTTTCAACGTGTATGACTTTGGATGATATTGAGTTAGAGACTTAGCTACTTTAAATAACGAACAGAAAGCGATCTCGGATTATAACAATTATGAGATGATAAAATCTGCCTGTTCACTAGTTTGAACCTTAGTTTAAGGTTAAAGCAATTGTAATTTAGAGAGGGGGGGGGGGGGGTAACGTCCACTCGACACAAACTAGATTATTTTAGGGCTTTCAGGGGTTCAACTTTCAAAATAGATTATTTTGAAAGTGGTTCAATATTCCTCAAATAATGGCCATGGACCCTATTCACGAAAAGTTAAACTAAAATATTTTAAGAATACAGCCTTTTTATTGGTTAAAAGTTAAAAACCACGAACAAATTTTAACTTTTGTCCACGGTCGGTCCTGGGGTTTAACGTCCACTTCCACCAAGGGTGATATCGTAGAAATGAAATGGGGTTTAACGTCCTACTGTTCAGGGCCCTTATTCACGAAAACTTAAACTAAGATACAATCGAAATTTTAAGAAATACTGCAATTCGATTGGCTGACCAGTAAAATCAATATGCATATATCCAATGAAGTTGCAGTATTTCTTAAAATTTCGATTGTATCTTAGTTTAAGTTTTCGTGAATAAGCCCTGCTCCGAACTGGGCTAATGAAGACGGGTATACGTAATATAGTGTGCTATGAGGGAAATTTTGCCCGGACAGCGGCACTATGGCCTACTCTTATATCGAATTCCAACTGCCAAGGGATCTTTTACGTGCACGCCAATATGTACACGGGACCTCGGTTTTTCGTCCCATCCGAACGACTAGACAGCTGTCCTTGTCGGGCCCTCCATCCTGCATCACTGACAAGGGGAACCTACGCCGGAAAATCTGGATGAACTTTCTCGGCCAATGCAGGGATCGAACACCCGATCCCAGCCTACGAGCCACCGTCTTACCCACTTAGCCACGTGATCCCCGTGATATCGTAGACAAAACGTAGACAAAACTTTTGTCCAGTGAAAGGGTTGTATTTATGTTTTTGATGCAGTTAGTCTCGCTGTAGCACTTAGTGTAATACATGCTCGCAAAGTAGTTTAAATTAAATGAGATGGGATATAAGGTCCCGCGCTTCTGCGCCGACTGGGCTAATGAAGATGGGCATATACCTAGCAGAGTGCTATGGCTAGGACCGACCCTTATTTCGCATTCCATCTGTCAGGGATTCATTAATATGCGCGCATATGTATACACGGGACCTCGGATTTTCGTCCCATCCGAACAACTATGGACACTTCCTTTCGGGAACTTTCTAGGACAACACCGGGAACGAACCCGAGACTTGTTAGCGAGCCAGCACCCTACTCACTAAGCCACCGCGGCTCCACAAAGTACTGTTATTACTTAGAACCGTTTTATTACACTAATCGATTTGACCCGTTGTTGCCGGAAGTAGAATAACTCTGAAACCAAAAGTGATGCCCAGTTACCTATGAGACCCCCTTGGCTCGAGCTGCCTCTATACCCCAAATTTCTGCCCGGGACACCCTTAGTGTAGCAGTCATTACCGAACGAATACCAGATAAACAATCGGACAAAGCCAATCATTAATACTGTATAGACGCTGTCTACAACATAAATATTGTTGAACAAACATACAGAAATGTCCAGGTTTACTATAATAAACATTATTTAACGTTAACAGAAATAGCATATGTTAGTAATTTAGACGATTATTGCAAAAAAGTAGGTTAATTACCATCTTGGCGACGATGTTAATGCATACAAATGATGCTTAAGTAACTGTTTAAAATTTTACCTTGAAAGAAACTGGAACATGAATTAAAAGAAGGTTGACATAACTTAATCCAAGTTGAACCAATGAGTTCTTCAAGTTTTCCTTTACCGCTTCACGACGATGTGCTGTGTTCCAGAGCTTTCAAAGAGAAATAATAATAATTAGAAATCTCATTCACTTTAAATTAAATCTATATTTAAAAATAATACCGGAGGGCGGGTGCATAGCTGATTGGTCCTACAAAGGTCCTAATTTCTGCCATCTATGCAAGTTCAGCCCTAGTAGGGTCGCCTGACTTTCATGTTGTCTCACACTGCCAAGTAGAATCCTATTCTTTTGGTGGTCTGAAAATAAAGTCAACGTCTCATATTAATCAATTGTGAACATACCTTAGTGGTAACAAACAAATCTTCTCTTTTAATAGTTCCTTCTTCAATACTTTCTTTAATAGCTTGACCAACTTCCTCTTGGTTTTTATAAACCCAGGCACAGTCAATATGGCGATATCCTACTTTTATAGCTTCTTTAACAGCTTTACACATTTCACCCTTGTCACCCTATAACAAAAATGCAAGTTCAATTTGTCGCATTTGTCTGACATCTTGTAATAAATCACTTCACCCTCGCAAAAATATAAACTCAATTGGAAGCATATGTCTAAATATATATGTATAAGCTCAATTCGAAGGATTGGTCAAAATATAAGCTCAGTTCGAAGCATAGGTCTAAATATAAGTTCAATTCGAAGCATTGGTCTGAATATATGCTCAATTCGAAGCATTTATCTGAATATAAGCTCAATTCGAGAACTAATAACTCATTTTCAAAATTCGAGGTTTTTTTAGGTGTTATCATCAGACTCATTCGTAACGTAGAGTAGAGAACGCTGTGTGATTAAATGTCCTTGAAAATAAAAAAAAATAATTGATCGAAATAGATAAGTCGTATATATTTATTTTTTGCAGCGTCATCTATACGTACTGGGTCGCTGGAACGACGGGGCTATGGGCACAAATGCGCCCCTGTCCCCATAAGCACGGGTCCATTTCCCCACAGCCCTTACATTTTTGTCGGCTGTCCTTTAGATACTCAAAAGTACAGAAAGGGTAATAATTGAGGAGAACTGTCAAACGACAACGAAATACTCGATCTGATTTCGCTCAACAGGAACTGAAAGACTTTCTTGTTCATTTAAGACTTAATAATTCTCGGAATACAATCCCTGTAAACACAGTGACTGTCTACCACACGCTAAATTCTTCTCCTTGTAGTAAGAAGTGCACGCCCTCAAACCCCGTCCCACCCCCACCCAGAGTTTATTTTAACGTTCAATTTCCAATGATCCAAAAGGAATTGACCCTCGTCAGGTGTTCCTGTATTGGGTTTATACAGCTTCGTTCGCCTTTTAAGACTAAATTATCACTGTAATAATATAAATCGGGTGGGGTGGGGGTGCTTGACTAGCGGAATGTTCGACTGCTGTTCTTTGAATGCCAATTGTACTTGTGCTGCCACAATAACTTATACACGGGAAATCGTTTTTTCATTGTCAGTCTCGTGGGTGCCAAAAGGGAACTAGGTAGGTCTACTCTTTAGGTGCCATCACAGAAGAACTGTGCCGAGAATGTCTGCCCAGTCCCTCGGAATAGCAGCATTGAAAAATGCCAGAAAGAGAAGCATCGAAAGGTCGATCACCCAGCGGTTGCCTTTATGATAGTATAATATAATTTACTTACTCTCCACATTGTCCAGGTACCAAAACCAACAGTGGGTATCCTATCACCACTCGGCAGTTGTAATTCCCGAGATACAGGCATTTTTTAAAGATGGATAAATAACTGGTATAGAGAGGGGAGTGAAACTAGACGATGTTGATAAGTTATACAACAAATATAGTGTTTGATTTATTAACTTGCTTCTATTGGATAGATAACAACAATTTATTTTAAAAATACAAATACGTAACCACATTGATAAGATAACGGTTGTTCAAAGCCAGCACATGTACATTGTATCTTATTCATAAAATTCACGCTTTGGTCATTTATTTTTTGTGGGTGGTGTGAGACAGGGGACGTTGCAGGACAAACCCGTCAAGTCAATCATGGGTAGTTACAGAGGCGGATTTAAGGGGGGGGGGGGCGCGAGGGGCGCCCCCCCCCCCCCTAATTTTCGACAGTGCCCTTTTTTACTGATGAAAGTGCCTTTTCTCAGACCCAAATATGTCCGTTCCCAACCCACTGCAGGGATCCCAAATGACTCAAACCATCGATTCAAACATACCAGTCTGGTCTAATTAATGCTTCCACTTTCAAACGAATTCTTGTTGTTTAGATGACGGTGCCCTAATCCTTTAAGTGGCTCTCACACTCTGCCGTGTAGGCCTACCGTGTGCCACCGTGCGCGACGGTGTAGAACGGCGAGGGCACACGGTGGTTCGTTATCAAAGCGGGTAACACGTTAATAGGGCGTTGGCGCTTATTTACACCCGGTGGGACCCGGCGAAAGTTTTGGGCATGTTCAAAACTTTGGCCGGCTGGCACCGGCCACAAGTAAGCGGCAAGAGGACGGTGTTGAACGGTATGAGAACGGTATGAATACGTTATGAAAACGGTCACACTGTATGAACGCGTTCATAACACGCTCATAAACCGTTACAGAACGGTGATGAACGGGCAAAAAAAAAATCCACCGTCTGCAACGGGTTGTAAGCGGGTTGTGAACGTGTCATGATCGTATTGATACCGTGCCACCGTTTTCATAACGTATTCATACCGTCCTCATTACAGTGTTCATACCGGACTGCCAACGGGTGTTTCCAAAGCGGTACCGCCTGATTCTGACGGCGCCGCCTCCCTAACGCATGGGTAACATCCTGTTAACGCCTTCACGTTCCCATAACGTCATATAACGGGTCCATAACGGGTCCATAACCTGTCCTTACCTTCACAGTAGCGTCATATGAACGTGCCATTACCAACAAATTTACTTTTGTCACCGTGTGCCACCGTTTGTCACTAATTATTGGGTATATATAGAGGGGTTTCGTCAAATGAGCTTTACTTTTTCTTGTGTACATGGTCGTATGAGTCGGTGACCAACTGACCATGGATTGTCCTGACAGGGTCCGACTCATGTACATGTTGGCTATTGCCCAGCGTGAGCGTGATGAGTTGGACCACATTGTCAGGAGAAACCAGAGAAGGGCACGGAGAGGCCAACGCAAGAGATGCGCTTGGACAAGGGGGTGGGTGAGGCGTCGCCGTGAGCGGACTGACCGTTGCCGTTCAAATCGGGGTATTTATGGCAGTCGGGGACTCGCTCACAGGACGCTCCGAGCGTTGAGGGGACGCTAAGTGACTGGTAGGTGGCTGCTACAAACCCGGTGCACACGTTCGAGACCCGGTATGGGCCCGGTATGGAAACGGCCGAAATTTTCAACAAAAGTCAATCTGGGCGGTGAAGACGGTAGAAGCACGTTCAACACCCGGTATGCGCCCGGTGAGAACGGTCAGAAGATGGCAACGAAACGGTGAAAAGATTAATTTTTTTCGCTCAAAACCCAACGTTCTGCCAACGTTCTGGACTCTGTTTTTTTTAATAGCCCGGCAGGTGGACGGTAGGCCTACACGGCAGAGTGTGAGAGCGCCATTAGAGTGACTATAGACAGACATCTTGTGGAATCGGCGGCGTATACACTCATGCCCATCACCGACGCGCATGAGTGCAACTTGATGTAGCATTGTTTCATGTGTGGACAGTACAAAGTACAAGTTACAAGGCTTAAATAGTGAAGTGGCTAGGGAATAGATTAGTCTTTTTTCCCATCATTATGCCTCGCTCGCCTTGATAATTTTCGGGTCGCATGTTCAAATGGCTTTTTTGTTCGATTTTAAGACTCTTTTCAACGATTTCCGAACGTTTACTTAGACGAAAATATCAGCCAAATAGCTCTTGGAATGGCTATAGATGCAAGGAAATGACGGATAATTTTCTTGCCCCCACCCCCCCAAAAAAAAAAAAATAATCCCCTCTCAGCGGCGTGCCCCGTCTCCGCAGTCAGTGCCCTCATTTTGCGGCGCCCCCCTCCCCTTTTCAAAATTCCTAGATCCGCCCCTGAGTTATCTATTAATAAGACTAGTGTTGGCTTTACTGTTTCGGTCAATAAGAAAGCGTCCAGGGTTTGATTCCGATGTTTATCGAGAAAGCTCACCGGGATTTTCTAGCGTGGTTTCCCTTTGTCAGTGGTGCGGGACTGACAAGTCAGCGTCTAGTCGTTCGGATGGAACCAGAAACCGGGGTCCTGTAGGCCTACATGTTGGCGTGCACGTAATAAGAACCCTTGATATTTGGAAATAGATATAAAAGTATGTCGTAGCCCCGTAGCCCTGTGTTTTTTTCGTCCCATCCGAACACGACTAGACGCTCTTAGGACTACTTCCAATTATTAAAGGCCCATCGTCTTGTACAGCTGGCAACTGGAAACGACGCGCCTGTGTGTTGAATTATAGGTAACAGTTCTCCGGTGGTAGGCCTACTCACTAGAATAGCCACTGCACATTGTCACCATGATGATTGATGGTGCCTAGAAAAAAAAGCAGCACATAGTCACATACAAAACTCTTTTTAACGGAACTTAGCCTAATATCGGGATGTTAATTTGTTAGATAAAATTAAATTATTATTCGTTTTGAAGAAAACTTACCGTACCGGTATTTAATTCTTTACCTTTAAGTTGAATTTATAGTCTTCTCTATTTGACATTCTACACGTCTGTGTGTTTATTAAATTCATATTGTGTATCTTTCACGTTCACGAAACTTTAAAACGAGACACGACTGGCGATAGAATTTAACACAGAGACTGGACATCATGACAAGGGCAAGTAACTCTAGTGTGCAATGGCATGGATTGCAAGAAAGAAAATTGGAACTCCGTTTGTCAAATAATTTTTTCGGGGATGTGGGTTATATAACTTTTTGGTGAAAACAAATTAATATGATATATCTTACTCTAGTTTTACAAGTTTTTGACTGGCATACATCAAATGATAATGTGGTACACTAGACCTACAGTGTACATCATTCAAGTACTGAAGTAACCGGCAAATTTCAATTTTCAAATATTGTTTTTATAACTTATAATAATACTAATAGTAATAGACATTAGTTTTTAAATACTGGTACTAATATATAATGTTTTTCGAATCTACTGTTCAAACCAAAATTAGGACATAGATACAGACACTTGAAGGAACTAAATCCAATTATTGCTAGAATTATGACCCTGGGGAGAAAATGACCTGTGGATCACTTATTTAATATGTAGACTATTGTCACTATAGGCCTAGAAGGCAGTACCGTACCGTAGGCCGATTTTAAATCATTTCCCAAGTACAATGATTGAATGATGCCATCCTAAAGGACTCCTGCCCTCCTGCCCTCCTGACTGGACACAAAATAAGACAAGCCGATCGAAGGTCTTTCCTATTCCATTCCTGAATAGGCTACTTATCGTACAATTAAACAAGCATTATGCAAGAGCGAAGAGCCTTAAATGTTATATAAATTATTAATTAGACAATAATTAACTTACCAAGGCCATAATCCACTCTCGATGCCATCGGATAGTCTAGATTTTCAATAGATTTAAATACGAACTGGGGTTGATAATTTAATGTAAAAATAGATTAGCGAGACTTTGTTTATTATCGTAACAACTTAAGAATTAACAATCGAGGCTACACTGTAATTTCATCGGCAATAACTTGGCTCACAGAGTGAAGTAATTTGACTGAAATTTTCTACATATTTCCTTCTCATTATCTATTTTTTAACTATTATAGCGGGAACTAGCTGTCAGCTCTTTATCTAATCTTACATAATGCCCCTTTAACTATTTATTTTTTTATTTTTTTTTTTCAGAAAAGATGGCCGGTTCGTCATGTAACTCAATCCATTGGTTTAGAAAAGGCCTTCGACTCCATGACAATCCAGCGTTATTAGCTGCCCTAGAGAATTGTGTGGAATTCCATGCCATTTTTATACTTGATCCATGGTTTCCAAAAAATTATAAAGTTGGCATTAATAGATGGCGTTTCTTGTTGGAAGCCTTGCAGGATTTAGATACAAATCTTAGAAAATTAAACTCGAGGTATGCATAGTTTGTGACCTGAATGGTAACACCTTTGTACAAAGTGAAAATAATGCTAATTGGGTAGCATTATTGGTGTACATTAAACAATCTTTTATGTAATCTGTCCAGATTCGTGCTGTGTTAGTTGTATTTGTAACTACTGCAAACAGGACTGGGATGTCCTAGAATTGATCCAACATGGGTAGTAGGAAGAACCATTTAAAAAATTTTAAGGTCCAGCATCGCATTTGGACCGGGTGCTCTATTTGACTAAAACAAAAGTAACTTTAACGATGATATAATTGCAATTCAAATGGTTCTGTAGATGCCTTTCCTTGACAGGCCCTCCGTTTTGCACCATTGACAACAGGAAACCATCTGGAAAATCCTGAGAAATTCTCACAGCCAAATGTAGGAATGAAACCCGGGGTCTCCTGGTAAGTGAAACATACTCACCGAGACCCTATCACCCTTCACACATGTTGCTTAATCATCCTATTTGATTATAATCTACTGTGACAAAGGTGGATGTTTGGTTCATTTGAACTAGAATGACCAAACATTCAACAGAATTTTTTTTTTTTTTTTGCAAAAAGAAAATCTAGACATCACTTGATTACATTAGTTCCAAATGTCTCTACATGTATTTTCAGATTGTATGTTGTTCGAGGTAAACCTAAAGAAGTTTTCCCAAAATTATTCAACAAATGGAAGATTACACATTTATCTTTTGAGTTGGATATTGAACCGTATGCTTTGAAGCGTGATTCAGAAATAGAGAAACTTGCCACAAATCATAAGGTGAAGGTCATCAAACATGTCAGCCATACCCTCTACGATACAGAAAGGTAAGATTCATTAATGCTGTTTCACCCATATATGCCAGATATATCTTACACAAGTTGACAAACATCCAATCAGGAATATTCCCCATTGGACATCTAGATATGGTGAATCGTATTCAAAATTTCAAAATATAGTTACTTTACTGAGGGTAATAACTATTACAAATCTCAAATGTCATTGATAATTATAGACAGGATTGATTAAAGAGCTAAATTCTACCTATAGCAGGTTTTTCTTTAGGCCTTAAATTATTAATTAGACATTAATTAACTTACCATTACCTTAATCAACTCTTGATGCCATCGGATGGCTCTGATATTAAGTAGATTTAAATACGTTTTGCATTTGATGATTGCTGTAAAAAATGGACAATCAAGACTTTGTTTATTATCGTAGCAACAGTAGCAATGACAATTTATGTTACACTATAAATATATCGCCGATAACGTGGCCTTGAGTTAAGTAATTTGACTGAAATTTTCAACATATTCCCGTTTCATTATCTATTTTTTAACTATTTTAGCAAGAAATGTCAGCTGTTTATCTAATCCTACCTAATATCCATTTAGACATACACTATGCAAGAGCTAATTGCCTATTGTAGGTCTTTCTTTAGGCCTGAAATGTTATAAATTATTAATTAGACATTAATTAACGTATCCAGACCATAATCAACTCTCGATGTCAATGCTAGCCTGTGATATTTGTTGGATTATGATCCGATTTGCTGCATAACTTTCCTTCTCGATTTAACGATTAAATGGATATTCGAGACTATGATTTTTGTCGTACTGACTTTAGTAATGATTACCGAGGCTATGCAGAACTTTTGATTGCTTATTTCTCGGTTCATAGTGGATCAATTTGACTGAAATTTTCAGCAAATTGCCTTTACATTATCTATTTTTTTAACTACTATAGCAAGAGAACTGTCAGCTGTTTATCTAATCTTACCTAATGTCCATTTATGTAATAAATGTTTTTTTTTTAATGTACTAGCAGTGAAATTATGAGGATTTAAATACAGCAAGAGATTTTTAAATGGTTAAAGCATTTTGTTTTCTATGGATATTCTGATCTAAAATTTTATGTTTTTCTAAATATTATAGAATTATTGAGAAGAATGGTGGAAAGGCTCCACTGACTTTGACACGACTCCAGACAATTTTATCACAGCTAGGACCACCATTAAAACCATTGGATGCCCCAACTATTGCACAGTTCAAAGGTCAGTGCATTAGGAATAAACTCTGCTGAATACATTTACTCAATTCATTGTCCAATCAGATGCCACCAGTCTGATCATGTGACACACAGTGTTACTATAAATTGTAGATATTTTGTGGGCGGGTGGATGGCCTAGTGGCCTAGAGTGTTGCGCTTCAAGCTCTAGCTGGTCTGTCACCTCTTGCTTACGGTTGTGGTTTTGATCCCTGGTGTGAGCGCATCTGACTTGGAGATAGGGGCGCCTTTTCAACCTTGTGGGTTTACTTCAGGTACTCACCTTTTCAAACCTACTGGATTTACTCCAGGTGCTCTGGTTTCCTTCCACAGGAAAGACCCCTGCATGTGTGCTAAGCATAATAAAATTAGACAATTTTTCTGCGATATCACCATCGGTGAAAGTGGACGTTAAACACTAAAAAGAAAGAAAGAAGGTATTTTTTTATGCCTTAATCATATGTGGCTATTTTTGACCTGTCCTGCGCCACTGACAACACTAGGGACTGGTTATCATTCAGATTTGACGAAAAAAGAAAAGAAACAGCTTACCGTCTAGAATCTAATACACATATCCAGTTTTAAAATAGATTGCCTTCCAGAAAGTGTTAAATGCCATCAAGTTTCATAAACAAACGGCCAGTTTCTGTTACTGTGTAGTTTAAGAAACACCGTTTAGTTTTGACATTGGTTGTCCAGTTGATGACCATTTAGTTTAGTTTTGACATTGGTAGTCCAGTTTATGACCATTTAGTTTAGTTTTGACATTGGTAGTCTAGTTTATGACCATTTTGTTTAGTTTTGATATTGGTCGTCTAGTTTATGACCATTTAGTTTCATAAACAGTGTTTTTTAAACTACATGGTAGCACAAACTGGATGTTTTTTGATGAATCTTGACGGCATTTATCACTTTCTGGATGGCAATCTATTAACTGGATACGTGCATTAGATTCTAAATGGTAAGCTCAGTTTCTTTCTTTTTTCGTCAAATCTGAATGATACCTGGTCCCTAGTACAAGGAAGAACCTGTCTAATGAAAATTATGTGCATGTCCCTGTTCCATTCTTGGGATTTTGAAATACGAGCGTAAAACCTCTGCAAATTAATGTTTGTTTGATATTGTGTAAATTTGACAGATATTTGTAGGCCATTAAATAAAGATGATGGAGAGAACTATGATGTACCAACTTTACAAGAACTTGGCCAAGATCCATCAACATGTGGTCCTGTTTTATATCCTGGTGGAGAGACCGAGGGGTTACAACGACTAGATAACAACATGGCTAAAACTGTAAGAGTTTATATACTTCAAGACCGTAGAAAAGTCATCAATGACAAATTCATTTGTCAGGCTTATTCTTGCATTTGTAAAAGAAAAGGAAAAATCTGTCGGTTGAAATGAACTCAAATGCCTCTGCATTTATAAAATTTTCAATATAACATCATTATTGCAAAGGTTGAATTGACCCTAGTTTGAAGTTCAGTTCATGCCCATGGGCGTGGGATTGAGAAACCGGATTCTTATCATAATAATAATGATTAATTTGTTAGTGACTAAAATCCATCTGCATTCACTCGGTGGTGCAATATTCTTGAATAAAGCCCATTGTTTAACAAATGTTATTTTGATTGCCAACTAATTTAAGAATTAAGAGTTTTCCAAAATTGTGTTTGAGAAATGAAATGAATTGAAATGGGGTACAATGTCCTACTATTCTGCTCTGACTTGGCTAATGAGGAAAATTTTGCATAAAAAGCAGTGTTACGTCCTACTCTTATATCAAATTCCAACTGTCAAGGGATCTTTAAGTGCTTGCCAATGTGTACACAAGACCTCGGTTTTTCGTCCCATTTGAATGACTAGACAGCTGTCCTTGTCAGACCCTCCACCCTGCATAACTGACAAGGGGGAAACCATGCCGGAAAATCCCGATGAACTTTCTCGGTCAACATTGGGAGCGAACCAGCGTCTTACTCACTGAGCCTCCATGACTCCCTTTTGTTTGAGAAATATAGAGGTTTGTAGATGGCCATATTATGGTACCTGTATTTTTTAACTCCATTTCCGTATAATTATTAACTAGGTCTCTCAAGTTGTAGATTGTAAAGAATATGTTCTTATATTTCAGAGTTGGGTGGCTAATTTTGAAAAGCCCAAAACAGAACCAAATAGTTTAGCACCAAGTACAACTGTATTAAGTCCTTATTTAAAGTTTGGCTGTGTTTCTGCCAGGTTGTTTTACTGGAAAGTTCAAGATGTTTATAACAAAATAAAGGTATAAGTTTACAAAGAATAAATTATACAAAATAAAGGTATGGAATAAGATATAATGTCTCGTTAATGTAACACTTTGGTCGTCTTCATTAGCCCAGTCGGGGCAGAACAGTAGGACGTTTAACACTTTGATTATCTTTAAATTAACATACCTTTTATTATTATTCTGTTGTAACATGTGCGTGGGAATTTTGTCAGGACAGTTGCATTTCCGCCAACTCTTCTTTGAATTCCAATGCTTAGGTTTTGAATCCCTTCCAAATAACTAGGCATTAATTCCATGTCATTCTATTCAAGAGCTATCTAATCTCATGACCATCCGTCCTACACCACTAACAAGATGAACTTTCTCGGTCAACACCATGATCGAACATAGGATCTCCAGGTTAATGTACCAATATCTTACTTGCTGAGCCACCGTGGCTCCCGATCACAGTATTGTGTCTAATGAATTTGTGTCTCAACACAGGTGCCTTATTTTCAGACTTCCTTTTGTTTGATGACCAGCAAAATTTCCCTAGTACAAATTAATGAAACAATTTTTTTTTTTTTACTTTAGAAACATTCTCAGCCTCCTGTGTCACTACATGGACAGTTATTATGGAGGGAATTCTACTACACTGTTGCATCTGTTACACAGAATTTTGATAAAATGGAAGGAAACTCAGTTTGTACTCAAATTCCTTGGAAAACTAATGACAACCATTTAAAGGCATGGAAAGAGGTAGTTTTATTAAACAATTTATATCCTATTGTGGGGGGCGGTTGGCCGAATGGTTAGCTTGTGTGCTTTGTATCATAAGGTCTGTCATTGAGTCAACTGGCTTTGTTTTGATGCCCCGGTTGTACGTGACGAGGAGTAGGGTCGCCTGTCCAACCTCAGGGGTTTTCTCTGGGTCCTCAAGTTTCCTCCCACTGCTAAAAGACCCCTACGCGCAAGCGAATTATTGAAATAAAATTGAACCATGTGTTAGTCCCGAAATGACCTGATTTGTGTCGAGTGGATGTTAAACCCTCTCTCTCTCTCATTCCAATGGGCGTGGCATTAGTACAGCTTTCAGATAAGTTATGTTAACTGAATTATCTGAAATCTTTGAACAGTCATAGGCTTAGTCGTCTCATGACCATAGACACTGTCAATAGTATAATAATTTTATCCTTCAGTTCAGAGCGTTCAGGAGGGATAGGTGGCTGACCGGAAGGTCTTTCATTGAGTCAAGTGACGTGGTTTTGATTCCCCTCTTGCATGTCACAAAGTGTATGGTTGTCTGTCCACCCTCTGGGTTTTTTCCGTGTCCGCCAGTTTTTTGCCACTGTCAAAGACACCCACGTGCAAGCTAGGCCATTTTGGTACTAACACATGGTGGTTCAGTTTTATGTCAATAATTCGCCTGCCTGTAGGGGTTGTGTATAAGTTGATGTTCAATATTCATCCAACATGTTATAACTTTGAATTACCTCCCCTGTTTTCTGCTTTTTTTAAAGGGACGTACTGGTTATCCATTTATAGATGCTATTATGATACAGTTACGTACAGAAGGATGGATTCATCATTTAGCTCGACATGCTGTTGCTTGTTTTCTGACACGTGGTGACCTCTGGTGTCACTGGGAAGAAGGTCAAAAGGTTAGATGTGTTTAATGTCTCCCACAAATATTCTGTATCAGGGAGCTAGCTGCATGAAACTCAACAACAAGCAAGTCACACACCAGAAAAACTTGATATGGCTTTGAAAGTGGCATAACAGCCAATCTGATTAAAACACAGATCCTATTTCTTTTCGTTTTATTTTTTTTATAGTTCAGAATTTTATTTTACTTGTCTTTACTACACTAAGATCTGACAGAGTTGTTGTAAAATCCTCATTCTAGATGATGTGAGGGATTAGCTAATGAAATGGTCTGTTACGGTGAGTTTTTGGCGTGATGTGCACGGAACTGTGGGTAACACACTAGAAACATCAATGCTGATTGGTTAACCAAATGTCTGATGTCATCGGGTCAAAAACCAGTCTCTTTAACATGCTGCCCATGGTTAACACAGGAACTCTACTTGTCGGGGGAGAGGGGGGTGGTGGATGGCTGAATGGTTAGCATGTGTGCTCTGTATCATAAGTTCTGTCATTGAGTCAACTGGCGTGGTTCATTTCCCGGTTGTAAGTGACAAGGAGTAGGGTCACCTGTCCAACCTCGTGGGTTTTCTCTCATTGCTTAAGACCCCTACGCTCAAGCGAATTAATGAAATAAAATTGAACCATATGTTAGTCCCGAAATGACCTAGTTTGTGTCGAGTGGATGTTAAACAGTGAGATCAAGACCAGGACCTCTTAGTGAGTCATCACCATGCTGGTGCCAACAAGTTAATCATTTTCTTTTTATCATTAAAATATTACAGGTATTTGAAGAATATTTATTAGATGCTGACTGGAGTTTAAATGCTGGTAATTGGATGTGGTTATCCGCTAGTGCTTTCTTTCATCAGTATTTCCGAGTTTACAGTCCGATAGTATTTGGTAAAAAAACTGATCCTAGTGGCAGCTATATCAAGTAAGTTTTGATAGGAAAGTCCTAGTAGGACCCCAGTGGCTGAGTGTGTATAAAACGTTGGCCCACTAACCAGGATGTTCTTGGTTCTATCCAGGCCCCGAGCTAACGAAGCATTCTCAGACTTCAGTTAAGCATTTACTCAAAATTGTTTGCCTTATTTGAACTAAAATATAGCCCTTTATAAAACTTTTGTTGTTTTAATTTATCAAAAACATCAATAAAAAAACTATGAGCAAAGTTTTGTGTTTCTGGACCAAAGATATTTCTCATAAACAGTGATTGAAAGTTGAGTAAATTCTTAAGTCTGAAAATGCTTTGTGGCGCGGGATGGAGATCCTGGCATGGGAAGGTGTCAAGATTTTCAGATGGGACTAATGAAAGTTTCCCTCATAGCACATTACATGGCTATAATAATGCTCATCTTCCTTAGCTCATTTGTTGTAGAAAAGTACATTCAACTCCATTTCATTTCATCCACAAGTCCAAAATGTAAGAAAGAGAGAGAGAGGAATGGGGTTTAACGTCCACTCGACACAAACTAGGTCATTTCGGGACTAAAATATGGTTTAATTTTATTTCAATAATTCGCATGCGCATAGGGGTCTTTAGCTGTGGGGGGAAACCGGAGGACCCGGAGAAAACCCAAGAGGTTGGACAGGCGACCCTACTTCTTGTCATGTACAACCGGGGATTCGAAACCACGCCAATTGACTCAATGACAGACTTTATGATACAGCGCGCGCACGCTAACCATTCAGCCATCCAACCCCCCAAAATGTAAGAGTTAAATGCTGAAATTCAAATGATATCATGTAAAATAAATTGGGTTTTTTATCCCCAATTATTTTTTTATCTCCAATTTTAGGGGGTTTTTTATCCCCAAATTTAGGGGATTTTTTATCACCAATTTTGTTTTATTTTATCAAAAAAAAAATCTTTGTATTTTTTATCACATTTTGGGACTAACATAATAAGTATTTTTATGTTGACAAGATGTTAAACTCCATTTCATTTCTTTCATCTACTATTCATTCTCTTTGTTTAGACTTCTGCCTGGAGGTTGGGTGTTTGATCCCTGCATTGGCCGAGAAAGTTCATCCAGATTTTTCAAAATGGTTTCCCCCTTAGTCAGTGATGCAGGACAGAGGGCCTGACAAGGACAACTGTCTAGTTGTTCAGATGGGACGAAAAACCGAGGTCCTGTGTACACATTGGCAGGCACGTAAAAGATCCCTTGACATTTGGAATTCGATATAAGAGTAGGCCGCAGTGCCGTTGTCTGGACAAAATTTCCCTCATAGCACACTGTATGGCATATGCCCGTCTTCATTAGCCCAGTTCGGAGCAGAACAGTAGGACGTTAAACCCCATTTCATTTCATTTGTTTGGACTTCTGATTTAACCTCAATAAATTATATTTTTCCAGAAAGTATATTCCTGTTTTAAAGAAGTTTCCACCAAATTATATCTACGAACCATGGAAAGCTCCAGTGAAATTACAGGAAACAGCAGGCTGTATAATCGGCAAAGATTATCCTAAACCAATCGTTGATCATGACACAGTTCGACCAATCAACATCAAGCGTATGTCTGAAGCATATGCTAAAAATAAAGAAGCCAAATCTGGTAAAGGTAAAACAAATATAAACATTTTTGAGACAATGTACAAAGTATGGCCAAACCAATTTATTGTGTAGTTCTTCGGGGTGTTGATAAATAATATAATCCTTAAGTGGCATTTAGCGATTGAACACATTAAAAACACAACACAGTTTATATGGAAATACAATCACTGGTTTATAAGTATAGCACGACGTTTCGACAAGTATTCTCTTATCGTTATCAAGCACTCTCTCAAGCAATAATACAATTATAAAAATTGATAGGATATTATATACACGTAAACAAATCTGTTTGTATTATATTAGAATATAATTATAAAAATTGATAGAACATTTTATTCTATAACTACATGCAAATCAGAGCAAATAATCATTGAATACAGCCATTGACTACAGCCACTGAATACAGCCACTGAATAACCTATGGTTATATTCAATGACTTGGACAGGTACTACTTTTGTCCCGAATGAGTCACTTTCAGAATTACGTCACCACTAGGCAACAACAATTTTTGTAAAAAAGGGAGGAACCTATGATGAATTTTAACGTTATTAATTATTGATGATGATTTTTTTTTTTTTTGATAATCTAAATATAGTACAGTGTATTTTGAGATTTCATGTAGTTAAAGAAAAAAACAGACAGGGATACACTCGAGTGAACCATTGAATAACCTGAGCGGTATTCAATGGTCATTGAGTTCTGTCTATATATACATATAAACAAATGTTATTACATGTATAACAATTTAATGAATTATTTGTACTTTTGGCAGTGTTTTATTTTTCATGCTACTGTACCAAGCTTTGTGGATTAATTAAAGGAAAAGTCAAACCGTTGCAGAAATTATGAATGGAACTGTCATCCACTGTTCATAGTGTATGAAAACATGAATTACAATCAGTTATAATTAATAAAAATCTTGAAATGTATTTTCAGCTGACAGTTCCGACAGTAAACGTAAAGCAAGTGACTCGACTGAAGAACCCAAGTCCAAGAAAAAGAAATTGAAAGAAAATAAAAAGATAACAGATTTTATGAAGTGAAAGATTCTGGAAGATAAAATTATAAAATGGGCAACAATAAAAAAAGACATTAAGAGGAAGACATTATTTTGATGGCATTTGTGAGATTAATAAACAGAATTGTGCAATATGAAGAAATAAAATGAAAGTTGCTGATCCCTGTCATGCATTTTTCAGACATCTAAGTTTTCATAACTTAATCAGGCATTATTAAAGAGCTAAATCTGCCTATTGCAGGTTTTTATTTTAGTTCAAGTTTTATATAAATTGTTAATAAGACATTAAGTAACTTAGCAAGACCATAATCAACTCTCGATGCCATTGTATATTCTAGATTTTGAACAGATTTAAATATGGATAATCATATTGTAATAATGGTAGCAATGACAATTGAGGCTGCACTGTTGTTTTTATGCTAATAACTCGCCTCTGAGTGAAGTAATTTCACTGGAATTTTCAACATATTCCCTTTTCATTACCTTTTATAGCGAGAACTGTCAGCTCAAATTATCTAATCTTACATAATGCACACTAAAGTGTACTCTAATTGATTAATTGGAAATTTAGTAAAGAAAGTCAAATCCAAATGTCAGATAATATTGGATTAAGGCCAATCAGAAGGTGGCTCTGGTTTGTTTATATAGTCTGCAGAAGACCAGCGACTTTAAAGATATATCCCCTGCATTTAGACAACAACATTTAACAACCATTTCAACTCCACTGGTAACTCAGTGGTCTAAAATGTGTGCTTTAGATCATAAGGTCTGCATTGAGTCAAGTGGCATGATTTCAATCTCGGGCTTACCTGACAAAGGGTTGAGTTGCCTGCTTAAACTTGTGGGTTTTCGCTGTGTTCTCCGGTTTCCTCCCACTGCTAAAGATCCTTATATGCAAACAAATTATTGTAATAAAAATGTAGGGTCCCGTGTACATATTGGCGTGCACGTGAAAGATCCGTTGACAGTCGGAATTCGATATAAGGGTAGGCAAAATTTACCTTATAGCACACTGTATGGCGTATATATTGGTCTTCATTAGCCCAGTTCGGAGCAGAACAGTAGGACTTTAAACCCCATTTCATTAATTCCATACAGAGTTAACCTACTTTGTATAAACTCTCTAATAGAGCCAGGGGATTATTAAAAAGCATGGTTCCATGAAATGTTTTGTCTGAGTTTGTAAAACTTGTAGTCATAGAGTCTTAAATGTGAGTATTAGAACTTAACAATTAGTACAGTCCATCCATAAATAAATAAATGTGTCTGTACTTGCTGAATATGAGGAAAAAAAACAACATTTATCACCACCATACTGGTAAAGTGTTATAAAAACTGACTGACATTCAAATATTGATGTGGAAACCCTAATTTAGAACCCTACCATTATAAACAATATCATATATATATCTCAGAGCGACTGAAGAACTATGTTGACACAATATTAAAGCCCACCCCATTCCAAAATAAAATATGGAACTACAAAATAAAATATTGTTTATATAAATGGAACGTCAGCTGTGTCATCACTGTCATTGTGACCTTCAGGTTACTTTCATGAAGATTTTATACGCCCACTCGACACAAACTAGGTCATTTTGGGACTAACACATGGTTCAATTTTATTTAAAATTTTTTTGGTCTTTAGCAGTATGTGGAAACCCACAAGGTTGGACAGGCGACCCTACTCCCTGTCACGTGCAAGTGGGGAATCGAAACCACGCACTTAACTAGATGGCAGACGCGGATCTTCTGGTCGCCCCCCCCCCCCCCGATGCTCTAAACTGAAGGATAAAATTATTATTCTATTGAAATGGTCTATGGTCAGCCTATTGCTGTTCAAAGATTTCCGATAATTACTGCCAGAGTTTCCACCTTTGATCACTGATAAATATTGTGAAAGCTGTAGAGGCAGATATTTTCGATAATTACAGCTGTCAAGAGTTGTGGCCCGTTATCTCTAAAGTATGGAATCCCTTCAATGCAGAATCATTGGAACCGATAACTGCATATCAATGAAAACTCTGTATTATAAGGTTGTTTTTTTTATTTGAATCGTCAATCACTTGTTCGTAAATACAAATTCTAGGGATGCGAGAAGATATGGATGTATATATAATAATTTGTTTTATATCGTAATGAATAAACTGAAGCCAACAGTAGCTTCGCAAAACGAGCTTGTTGGGAAAAGGGTTAAAGATGCGTTATGTAAGAGCTAAATCTGCCTATTGTAGGTCTTTATTTTGACTTTAAATGCTATATGATGAACTATTATTTAGGCATTTATTCACATGACGAGACTATAATCAACTCTCTGGACTATCGGGTCGCAGGGGTTTAAATAGATTGGGACGCCCCGAGATTTAAAGATTTAACGATAAAATGGACAAACGAGACTAACTCTCGATTGTCCAGGACCGTTACTTGGATAATAAACAATCTGCGCAATATCTTCCTACACCCATAACTTGGCTCTGAATAAAGTAATTTGAAGAAAATTTTCAATATATTAATTTTTCATTATCTATTTTAAACTAATATAGCAAGAACGACCAGCTTTATCTAAATCTTACATACTGCATCTTTAAGGAACACAACTCTCCTGCGATATCATAATTGGTGGAAGCGGATGTAAAGCTTGGATAAACTGATGCGGATCACAGTTGTGACTTAGGGGTCAGACTACTTGTGATGAAGTGACAAAAAGACTAAAAACTGAGATTTTATATCAACTTATTAAAGGATTGATTTAGACTATATACAAACAAATGTAGGCTTTCATCCAACGTCTCCATGCGTCAATGTAGCGCTATAGAATCACTTCCAAGCTGAAATATTGTGAACAACGAATATGTAATAATATGAATATCAGTCAATAATGGCCCAATTCCGTTCAGTATTTACAAAGATCAGAGCCGTAACTAGCTCAGAGCAACGAGGGTGGCGGGAAGTGTTCTCGGGGTTGCAGTAAAATTGACGGACAATACATATCTATTGATTTATTGTCGACATTTTTTTAACAATTTTGCGCCCCCCTAGTTACGGGCCTGACAAAGATAATGTGGAATTCAAATTTCATCGATCTATGCTGTTCGCTATGTAATAAGCCCACCGCCATTTTGTTTTCCGCGAAAAAAATAAATTTGACAGGCCTGTTATTATAAATCCGATTGAATCCAAGCTGGGACATTTTCTAACATTGGTATTTTGATTTTATTTTCTTAATTAAGGGAGAAATAATCAATCTGAGTACATATTATTAGTTAAATTCATATAGGCTATATTACATATCCTGAAACTAAATGATCTCTAGAAAAACAATCAAATAAACTGGGCCCAAAAATATGACTGACTGTTCTGACTCTCATATTAATTACTCATGACAGGGATTGACAAACACTAAAAATAGGTACTGGCTATTTTATATGGTATCTGATTATTTTTTTACCTTTGTGGTCAATAATATCACTGTTATGACTCTCATATTAATTACTCAGGACAGTCATTGACAACCACTAAAAATAGGTATAGGCTATTTTATATGGTATCTGATTATTTTTTACGTTAGTGGTCAATACCTGATGCGTCATTGACTTAAAGAACCTGAACAATACTAAACAAGTAAAGGTGTGATCTAGATACATGTATATTATTTTACTTATTAAAAAAATGACAAAAGAGAGTTGTCGGAGTAACTGTCGTCATTTATTATATGATGATCTGTTAGATTATAGAAATTATGATATACTCTTGTGGTCAACTGGTTCATCGCCCTCACTGAAAGAATGAAATGGAATGGAGAGGAATGGGGTTTAATGACCACTACACACAAACTAGGTCATTCGGGACCAATTCAATAATTCGATTACGCGTAGGGTTCTTTAGCAGTGGACGAACCCGGAGAAAACCTTCAAGGCTGGACCGGTGAACTTGCACCTTGTCATGTGCACATTGGGAATCAAAACCACACCTATTTTCTTTGATTCAATGACAGATCTTATCATTCGGTCACCCAACCCCCAAAATGAAATGGGGTTCACCGGCCTACATGTTTGTACCAACCGAGCCACTGAAGACGGACATGTCACACAGTGTGCTTTGAAGGAAATTTACCCGGACAGCAATTGAGTTCAAACTATCAAGAGTTCTTTTACGGGCGTGCCAACGTGTACTCTGAACCTCATTTTTTTGTCCCAACCGAACAACAAGAGACTGCTCCTTCCAGCCCCCCCCCCACACACACACACACATACACTGCACCACTGACAAGGGAGGAAACCACGTGAGAAATTTGGGCCAACGCCTCAATCGAACCTGGTTTCCTTTGATTGATGAGTCAAAACACCTTATGTACTTTACTGTTGACGTTGTTGTTCAAGCCCTCGTTGACCCTTGATCATTCAATAAATCGTGACTCCGTGAACAAGAGTTTAAATTAGGTATCAGTATAATCATTTGCATATACTAACCTTGATCTATTTATTTTCTTTAAGATAGTTGTATTCGGTGACAATGAAAACTGGATTTCTAACGTCCCAACTCGTACATATAGAAATGACTTAAGAATTCAATGAATCATAACTGGATACATTCTATAGAACCAATACTCTTTTAGTTTTGAGTTTAAAGGGAATTGGCCCGATCGATCATAATGCCTTAATAAACGTTAACAATTTCTTGTGAAGACTGGAGGCCGGTTAATAAATATTATTAATATGTGTTTTTCCCGCTATCGAAATTGTTTACTTCTAATATAAATATTGTCGAGAAAAGTGTGTTAAAGATACATTATGGGAGATCAGATAAAGAGCTAGCAGTTCTCACTATAATCGTAAAAATCTAGATAATGTAAATTAATTTGCTGAAAATTTCAATCAGATCGATCCACACTGAACAAAAAATTTAGCGATTGAATTTTAGGCCTAGCCTCGACCATCATTACTAAAGTCGGTACGATAAAATACATAATCTCGATTATCCATTTCTTGATTTAATCATGAATTAGGGTTGAGCAGCAGATCAGATCCTAATCTAGTAAATATAGCAGGCTAGCGATGACATCGAGAATTGGTTATGGTCTGGATAAGTTAATTAATAATTTAGACAACATTTAAGATTTCAGGCCTAAAGAAAGACAGACCTGCAATAGGCAGATTAGCTCTTTCATAATGTATGTTTAAGAGAAGTGATGTCCTTAATTTTGGATGAATATTTTTAAACGATATAAAAGGTCGTTTATACGGTATGCAAACGTGGCGATCGCATTTGATTGATTAACAAATGATAAACTTCTAATTGAATGAAGTCGTTTATACGGTGAACTTTGCCGAATTTTTATTCGGACGGAAACCGCGGAGGTTGCCTCTAGAGAAAATATTTTGGACAGTTCGCGTGAACGATATTTATTAATCCAGTCAGAGTGTGGGGTCAAATGGGGTGCATCTATCCGTCAGTTTAATCTCCGAATTCCCTGGCGTGTAAACACACCCTTATTTATAGTCATATAGTCATGACGAATTGACTTATTGCGAAAGCGTTAATTTCTTTGTAACATATGAACAAAACAGACTGAAGGTCATTTTAAATAATGGCCATTAATTAGAAATATTTTTATTCAGGATATCTGAATGAGATTTAGGCGAATGATCTTTGACTAAGTAATGCCCCCAATCCCCGAATTCAATTATAGCTTTTTTTAATAGGCCAGGTAAGATGTACATAGATAAATAGAATAGAATAAATAACGACCAGTCATAACAGTCATCAACACAAACACGTGATATTCACGAATGGATTACTGTTATTAATATAAAACACGGAGTAATCTATTCATAAAATAAAAGAACCCACCAAATAATTATGTGCAACGTAATGATCGGTTAGAGTGCATACGTGATATTTGGCCTAGTTTATTGCCCCCCGCCTTTCGAAAAAAGCAGGGGACTTGTCCGTCACACTTTTTGAGACACAATAGTTCTCACTATAATAGTTAAAAACTAGGTAATGTAAAGGCAATTTGCTAAAAATTTTAGTTAAATTGATTCACTATGAACCGAGAATTAAGCGGTTGAAAGTTCCGCCTAGCCTCGATCATCATTACTAAAGTCGGTACGACAAAAATCATAGTCTCGATCATCCATTTAATCATTAAATCGTGAAGGAAAGT